AAATTTCTGAATGAAAGATTGCACTGAAAAAGTTTTGAATTTCTGAATTACTTTTGCATTTGTCCATTTTTTTTTATTTTTCCCTCGCCAATTGCTTTAAATCTTTTTTATTATTTCTTAAGATTTTTCGGACTTTGTGTTCGAAAAAATAATGGTCACAATTTGATATATTTCAATCACAGCACTGCTTTAAAATGAAATAAATGAAATCTAAGATTTGAAAAGCTCAATGAAGCCGTAGCACGTCACCTTTTTTCTGTGCGCGCATTCACCTAAAAATATATGCTTCTTTTAAGATGATCACTATCAAAGAATATACCGTAATCGAACCATTCAGCATTGTTTGGAAAACCAAAAGATCAAATGAACCTTTACCTTAATCGTATTTGTTTTTGGTTGTTCCATCAAGGTTGAAGTACTTTTAACCTCTATTCAAGGCATTTTCTCTAGAGTTAATTAAAACTGATTTCATTTAATTAACTATATACTCAACTTGCTTCAATGGATTTTCCAGTCGACGGAATTTATTGTTTCTTAATTCTGAAAGAAACATGGACAGTTCATCTATAAATCTCTGCAGATATCGACCCTATAGGAAATAAACAGAAAAAAGACTACTTAACACCACACTGTGTATCATCCAGAAGCCAAGGAAAGTCAGTGTATAAGGATGCCCGTCCGTTAACAAAATGCGACACACATCAAGTCCCTTCAAAATACTTATACACATCAATCCCCCCCCCCCAAAAAAAAAAAATTCTTCTTGAGTGAACTTTATAAATATTTCTCTTTCCTTTTTAGCTCACTTAAGGTTTATGAATATACAGTTATATATTCGATTATCTATCATAAAGATATATAATATATTTTCTTCGGAAGCAATATTAAGGTCTGCATATATCTAAAAGGAGAAGTAAATTGAAACATGATTTTTTATTAGTTAGAAATATAAAGTGATTGTGATTTGCATTGCAACAGTGAAAATGGAAATAAAGGAAACCCATCTTGGTTACATCTGTAAAGAAGCTAAACGTACATTTAGGATCAAAGTAAGATGTATGCTTTAACATGAGTTGAACAGTCACTGGAACAAAAATAAAAATGAATATTTAAGAAAGGTTTCAATGAAATATATGAAGATAACGAACAGTATTCATTCTCAGAGGTCCATTCAAGTGAAAGATTAATGTAGTTTATGCATGCATGTAAGGATAAGTATGCAATGCGATACAATGCATCTTGAGAGACAATTTTTGTTTCGGTATCAACTTTTTAGCAATCACTTACTCATGCATTTACATAGATTTTTTTCATTTTCAGGAAAAAAAGTAAAATAGGCAATAGAAAGTATCACGCGTATATAAAATAAATGGGACATTATTCACAAAAATTGCCCGTATCATAAGAAAGTACACGAAATTGTCATGAAATAAAATAGCAAAATAAAATTAAAATATAAGTATTTGTAATTCCAGTATTTTAGGGAAAATGTAATAAAATATATCATTTTTTAAAATTAACACACTAGATTACCATGCATATTTGAAATCAAAAAATGAAATTTTTTTTCAAAAAATCTGTAATGTTTAATGCAATGAAATATGTAGAGATAACAAACAGTATTCGAGCTCAAAAGTACATTTACCATTATAAAAAAGGAGCTGAGCAAACACAGGCCTCCAAAACATCAGAGGTAGAATCAGATGCCCAGGATAAGTGAGCATACCCTTCCGACCGGTCACACCCGTTCTCCTTGTCGTGTTCGGGGGGAAAGCCGGAAAAATCCAACTCAGTATGAAATAATGGCCAATCAGTGTGAAAAAGTCAGTCAGTATTTGACTTAATGATAATAAACTTGCTGACAGGGTCATTGTATCGGTCATAGAACTTATAAAATGATGATTTTAAACGAGAATGCTGATATTCTTGCTTCAGAACTTGTTTATCAATAACTTACCTCGTTTTAGAAATTGTTCATACGTAGATCATGCTCTTCCAAGTATAATCAACTGAGATATATAAACTCCTTATTCATCTGGTGAACGTATATTGCTGTATAAGTAAGAGAAGTTGACGTTACAAAAGTTAATCAAAGTCATTACGTACGTTTATCATATAGCTTTGTTTTAGATAGCCTTTAAAGTCTTTTTCTAGTGCAATAACCAAAAAGGAAACAGACGTGTCAGACTCTGTGGTGTCAACGCCTAACAATAAATGTACGATCAAGCTTTTTGCATCACAATCAACTGCCAAAAATCACTTTGGTTGAAATTACCGTATTATGATTCCACATACAGTTATTACTCTAAATTTGATATTAACATAAACTAGTATGAAGTTCCTCCGAAACAAATTTTTTGTAGTCTTTGTTGACCAGGTCTTCAGACAAACGTATGGAATTTCGAGGGACGTAAATCTTATCTGTTTTTATATGACTATGAAGAGATTCTATTCTAAAAAAAAAATTTACAAACGAAGAACTCTTGCTGTGGCATTTGATTTGACATCTCGATGACTTTTATAAATTATAATTATTTTCTTGACTCGATATTTTAATGTACTTGAAATTAAAAGAAACTACAGAATCTGCCTGATGTTTCTTAGTTGGAAATTTTACTGACGTTATACTTAAATTACAAAGTAACAACTAGACTTTTTCATAAACTGGATGACTTAAGCTTTTTCCATCGTCAAATTCCCCTATTGATAACCAATGTTTTAGTCCCATTTCTGTGTATGGTGTTAATATCTCCAATTTATTCAGTATTGAAAAAAATGTTCTCGATACGATGAGGTCTTAAACTGAGAAGGACTACCAATAAATAAAAGTTTATGCTTCAGCTTTTTCACAATCTCGTTTCAGCAAATTCTTCAATATAGTAACCTTGATTACAAATTTTTCCTATCACGTGTTGTACTTTTGACTGACATGTTTCATACCAATTGTTATACCATTGTCTTTGTACCCTCTTGACTACGGGTCACTCATTTAACCTCAATACAGAGAGCTTAAGGCGGGTGTGACCAATCAACAGGACTAAAAACATCTCTTGTATTTTTATCGATGTCTCCCCCAAAGTGGTTCCAATTGATTTTTGCAAAGGGTCTGTGTTTTTGACCTGTTGAAGTCGCATATTGATAAGTAAATTAAAAGGTTTGATCATAATTCGTCATATTTGTCAAACTGTTTTGTCATTTCCATGTTTTCACATTTTAAGCTTATATAGTATTGTTCTAGTCGCTATTTCACGGAAATCAATACAACTTTTATAGCAACCCAAATAGCTTTTCAGTAACAATTACAATCTCTGTCGTGAAGATTTTTATGAGAAGGTTTTTCTCATCAAAAACTAATCAGGATAAAGACTCTGAATCAACACTTAAGATCAACCTTTCATTTCCTGTCTTATAAAGTCAGGGATCAAGATTATAAGTCAGGTTCCCTCGGTTCCCTCTTTGTTTCTACCTGTAAATCCATTTTTCGAGAATATGAAATATATGGAGATATATCTTTAAACAAAATATGGAGATAACGAACAATGTGAAAGCTCAAAATCCATTCAAATAATACAAATCAGGAGCAGAGCAAACACAAACCTCTAAAACATCAGAGAAGGGATCAAGTGTCATGGAAGAGTGAGCATCCCCTGCCGACTGTTCACAACCGCCATTTTGTCCTTGTCATAACCGGGATGAAATGGAAAAATCTGTTGACAATCCACAGAGAAACAAGTATTGTGACAAACGTCAGTCAAAATTTGACTTAATGATAGATTTTATAGTTTGACAAGGTCTTTGTATCGACCAAAGAACTTGCGAAATGATGAATTTTAAGGAGACTGTTTATATCCTTGTTTCGTCAATTTGATTGTCAATAACTTACCTCATTTTAGAAATTGTTTACTAGTATACGTAAAACATGCTCTTGCGTATCGAATCAACTGAGGTATATAAAACCCCATATGAAGATGATAGGGATTTAAGAAATAAAAATTTATTAAAATCACATGGAATAAGTTTCTTTTTTTATTTTGATCATCAACTCATTGTTTACTCTAACTCGTCTTGTAGGTAATGCAATATCATCTTCAAGTTGGTCTTTTAGCGTAAGATGTACTTTAGTTAGCTCAATATTTCTATGTGTAATGAAAATGTCTGCTTGCTCATTAACTCCTGGATCAATGCATTTTAACGGTTCAAACTGACCAGTCATACAAATATATTACGGTGTTATTTATATTTATTTACTTCAGATGTGTGCTTGCTGTTGTAATTGATATCTTACTATAAACTTGCCTCCCTTTTTATGATAATTAGTGACTAGGTTTCGAATGTCAACACTATTTCTTACATCTTAAGAAAAACTGTGCTGTCAATAATGTCTCCTTACTCTAAACCAACTACAATCACTTGTTTATCTAAAATATTTACCTTATTTTATCTAAGTACGTCAGTGTTTTCAGCTTAAGTGTTGGATTTGAATCAGGATAAATCAATGATCAAATATCCCCCTCTTTATTGTGTCATCCCTAACTATGTCGGGCATTGTCCATCGATACATCTATACATTTTAAAACATAATGAAAGCATATGTTTCTTACATCAAGTATTTAAATGATTTCTACCAAAATTTGAATTTGGTAATACAAGGGGTGAATTTAATTTCAATTTCCCCTCCTCTGGTGAAATTTCAAACCGAATACTCTTCTTGAAATGGTACCTTCACAGAAATTTGGGATTTATTTTTCTTTCTCTGAGAGAAGACTTGGTCCTTAGAATAGAAAGCGAGAAATAAAATTATAAATGATTATAATATACAAATAATTATCCAAACCTTACATTGCTATAGAAATACTTTTTTCTTAATATAAATACTACAGTAATACAAAATTATTATTAACTGAATATTATTATTTTACCATTTCATATTTCTGCATTCGTTTGAGACGCTATTTTCATATATTTTGTCATTAAAACCACTTAATCATTTTGCCTCGTAGGTGACGATGGCCCGGCCTACTGGAACAAATTTAATGACGTCTCGCGGGACGAGATGACAGAAGAGCAGCGCCTCCTATATCATTTACTGCGTACCTATGACAAGTCTTCACGTCCGGTCTACAGAGCTTCTACCCCTGTAGTAATTCGCCTTGGGATTACCCTTACCCAAATCCTTGATGTGGTAAATAGCAAATTTTTAAAAATCGATCTCTGATACTTGATTTAAAGTTTTTTTTTTTTTTGCATTCTACATCATATCATTGTCAACAGCAGAATATTCAATAACCTCTTGTTTGTAGGATGAGAAAAATCAAATTCTTACCACAAATATCTGGCTTGATCAGGTACGTAAATATATCAATAAAATCTGCTTAAAAAATAAACTTTAAGTGTTTTGTTGTTGATGGGGATTTTAGATTGTTGTTGACAGAGGTTTCAAACTGATTTACAGGAGTGGATTGATGAGAAAATGGTGTGGAACAACATTACAGAGTTTGCTCACATAAACAAAATGAGGATTCCGTGTGATCTTCTCTGGTTACCCGACATCGTCCTTTATAACAGGTACAACCGGTTGTAAATGACATTACCCCATTGCAAAAAACAGCACCGAGATGAGCATAGTTTTCTCTTTAACATATTCTGGTGAAAATAGGCGATTGTTATTTGACTTCATCGTGTTGTTTTGACATTTGATATCCGAAAAACAAGTGAATATATGGTTGTCCTCTTAAGACTAGTATTGCTTTACATCATATATCCTACTGAAATGTCTGATTAGTTGAAATGGTAAAGTTTTAAAGTCAAAGAATATATAGTGTATGGTTAGTCGTTAAGTGATCTCTTTGGTTTTCGAATTTATAACAAAACAACGAACTACTGAGAGATAAATTTATTTTCAAATAAAATTGGTCTCTCTATTACTACAATAATTTCTTTTCTACATTTTATAGTGTGGACAATCATAATAAAGGATATATGAAGAGTCTTGCTTTTGTTGACAGCGATGGAAACATATTCTGGCCACCCATTGTCAAATTCCGCAGCTCTTGCAAAATGGACATCACATATTTCCCGTTTGATGATCAAGTGTGTTCTTTAAAGCTCGGCTCGTGGGCATATGATGGATATCAAGTAGATATAACGAACAGGAGTCTTGACATTGACACAACTAGATACGTAGATAATGGGGAATGGACATTAATCGGTACTAAAGCTGTACGCAAAGTAGTCCGGTATCCATGTTGTCCTGAGCCATTTCCGGATGTGACGTTTTACGTTCACATCAGACGCCGTGTTCTTTATTATGCGTTTAACGTCATCATACCGTGTGCTCTATTGTCTACCCTTACTTTGACTGGATTTATGTTACCTCCAGATTCAGGGGAAAAGGTCACTCTAGGACTGACAGTTCTCTTGGCGTTTTCTGTATTTATGTTGCTGATAGCGGAAAATATGCCCGCTACTTCGGAGTACATTCCACTCATAGGTAAAGCCAATTAAAAAGTCAAGACCTTGTTTAAGTTTCATAATTTCAATACGATTTTACCAAACTTAACATTGTTAGTTACACATCTTGTCAATCTAAAGAAAAGTGTTGAAAAACAAACCCACAAAGAATGTGTACATTTTTTTATATAAATTCTCCTGACTTTTTCAGGTATTTATTTGACCGTGATCATGGCTATGAGCGGGATGTCAGTTGTTTGTTCTGTTCTGGTGCTAAACATTCACCACCGCGGAGTTCTCGCTAGGAGTCCTCCAAGAGCATTGAAATGCTTGGCTCGAGCTTTTGCTCGGCTCTTTTGTATGAAAGTCCAGTTAGATGATTCTACAAATACATCTAACTACCGCACCACAGTGACGTATACACCGGCTAACTTCACGTGTAAGTCTAATGACAACGAGAGTTTGTTGTACAACGATATTCAGGGACAAACGCCACTTCATATGGACCTACAGGATACAGACGCTCTTAATGACGTCATGAACCAAAACATGCCCCCAACTGTCCCGGGAAAATCAAAAATTGACATAGAAATACTGAGTTATTTTAAACAGATGATGAGCAATCATGAACAATCCTTGATAGAAAAACAGATTGTTCACGAATGGCAGGAGATAGCGCGGGTGTTAGACAAGGCGTTCTTCTGGTTGTTTTTGTTAATAACAGTGCTATCAACTATAGTTATATTAGTCGTCAGTCCGATGACAAAAGAAATTAATCTAGAGGAGATCCATCATTCATATTAGTGACAGGAATCAATCTTTAGTCTTCATTTTCATATTGTCTATTAGCTACAGAACTGTAGCGTTATGGTTTAATATTTTTGATTTGACCACAACGCGTTACAGATCCCGTAATGAAATAATGTGCAATTTACTGCGCAAGATTTTTTGGCACAGTTGGGGAGAATTTTTTCACTTTCCACCAATGTTCATTCATTTACCTTTCAGTCAACATTTTTACACAAATTCTTTGGCCAATTAGTGTAATATGATATTACTGTAAATCACTTTTTATTCGCGAGAACTTAATTTTTATTTACCTTCCAACCGTAGGCTTATATAGAGGAAAAACAACAATTCGTGAAAATTTGTTTTGATTTTGTCGAAAATAAGGATGGCAAAAAATTCAAAACAAGCGAGTTTTTATGTCTCTAGAGACGACTTTAAAGGGTTGGGAGGTAGATAAAATATTCTATTTGGTTTAAAAATGTGGCTAGAATTCGGTAGTGATTGGTAATTGATCGGTCATTGCTAAGAAGTAGAAAAATTCTCCCCATTGCTATTTACAGGAAAGGTGTCTATCTGTTTGCCCGTTGTTAAAACATTACTGTGACGTCATGTTTTGTCCACACTACTGAAGAATCCGCTTGATAAAGGTCAGGTCAGTTATAACATAGAATAGTGCTTATCACAATTTATCATTTATAATATATTCTTCATTATTGTTTAGAAAGGTCTCGTGCTATACTCTATAAGGCCTCAGTTGCAAGCAATACTCTAGTTTTAATGATGATTACATATATACCAGGAACATGCTAAGATTGATAATTGTTGTTTGTAATCTTAAAATGAATTTGCAAAAACATCAATTCATTTAAGATATATTTTGAAAAGTCCCTGACGTTCAGAAAAGGAGTTGAAATAGATAATGAACCTTAAATGATATTCTAAACGCTTACTGTACCAATGTTGGTGACATTTCTTTATATAACGTCTTTTATTTGAAAAACCTGACATCTTGATATCAGTCATTTGAATATACATTTTTGTAATTTGTATACAGTTTAAAGTGAATTGTTTAAATGTGTCTATTCTTGATGCCAGACCAGGAGTTGTTTATTTTGAAATGTTATGTACAATTTCTTTCAAATTTCTTTTACCAGTACCATTACTTTCATTCATAGATATACTAAAAATTAGCTAAAACAATAAATTACACAATATATTCAATATGAAAATAATTATGAAATATCATGATCAAAAATTTCTTATTGAATAAACTTTTATTTAGATTGTGACAATTGATATTTTGGATCCATTTTCACAACAGAAGTACACGTAGTTTAACTGTCTATAGTTGACCAGCATTTTTGAAAAATATGCATCACACTTAATTGAGATATGGATCCAATATATTGGAAAAAAATGTATTTATTACAATATATAACCATTCGATATACCTTTCCTCCAGGTTTGATTGAAACTGAGAAAAAGTATGCCAGAGACTTTTAACATTAATCTCACATTGTCCTTGCTGATTAATTTAAAATTTGTTTTATAAGTAAGTGTCTGTTGTTAAATGTATTTTATTTTCCAGAGCGAGAAGAATCAGTTCGAATAGATGTCATGTATCATGTATTAAGATACCTTTAAACATCTTGTTGAAAAACAATAAACGGCACATACTGTGAATTACTGTAATTGTACTGTTTTCTTTTTCCGGTTTTCGAGATTTGATGAAACCATGAATTTACTTCAAAAATATTAAAATTTAAATCTGAAGTTTCAGGAATGTACCTATCAAATACGAAGTTAAATCCTCACAGGATATATTGTATCCATCCATGAAAATTTTAAGAAAATTTGTGAAATATATATATACATTAAATGACTGCAATCTGTAATATATTTTAGGAAATATGAGATTTTATAACTATTACTAAGTTGAAAAATGGAGATAACGAGTAGTACTCAACACAATAGTCAAAAATCGGGAGCATTAGAGATTAGATTAGGTGACATTGAGGATTGATTATTCCTTTTGTCACACACGCAATGTGGTCCTTGTCATGATCGGGAAAAAATGTAATATGACATTATGATATAAAGAATTTATGAAAGTATCATTAAATTTTGTTTAGTGGTATAGGAGGAGTTGTGGATAAGAGATGGGCACCCTTCAATGTTATAGAAAAATGGTAGTGTCAATGTTTTGTTCTGGAAAACCCAAAATATGTGTTCGATCAAAAAGTAAAATTGGAGGTGCACAATGAAAAATTTTATCAAAGATTCTGTGAAAGTCTCATTCAGTTGTAAAACAACATAAATATTGTCAACGGACAGAAACTCTTTTTTATGTCGGGGTGTTATAAATATTGAAAGACAGGAGAGCTACAGTGCCAATTGTGTGTAAAAAAATGTTTTTTAACAAAATAATTTTGCAAATGCCACTCAAAATATTACTAAAAGGTAATTCTTGAATGAAAATTTAGATATGAGTTCATTCCAATAAAATTACAAATTAGCAGCTGTCAAAAACATCAGAGAGGGATATAATCAAAATATGCCAAAGAACTTCGAAATGATGACTTTATCGTGGGAAACTTGTTTGTCAATAATTTAACTCGTTTTAAAAATTGTATACGTAAAAGTCGTAAGATATATTCGTATAAGCTCGTAATGTTGGTATTTGGTAAAATCTTGAAAAGTTAAAAACTTTCCAAAAGTTACCATTACCGTCTTTTTCAAGTAAAATATTCAAGTATGAAAGAGATGTGTCAGACTCTGAGGTATCTTTTATCTCAAGCTCATCAAGATATATTGTATCGACGTAAGAATGGAAATTATCATTGTTAATTGACAATCCGTCGTCGTTATATCTACATGTAAATGTCGAGTTGTTCAAAGTCTATAGAAGGTATTTTCTTCTTTTCACGCTTAAGATATTGGACAAATTCTGCTTCATATGAATAAAAAACTAGGTCTGCTTCAATTTGCACCATGGGAATTCTGATAGAATTTTTTTAAAGACCTGGTCTCCAAAAACAACATAAATATTGTCAACCAGAAACTCTTTTTATGTCATCTTCGGAGTATTGTGTGTACAATCAGAATGTTTTTTAACAAAATAATTTTGCAAATGACCAATGAAAAGGTAGATAAATTTAGTATGAGTTCCATTTTAGCAGCTGTCAATGATATCAATATGCCAAGACTTCAAATTATCGTGGGAAATGGTTGTGTAAAAAGTTGAAAAGTCGTAAGTTCATAAGCTGTTGGTTTTGGTAAAATCTTTTCAACTTTCCAAAAGTTCCGAAAACTGTTTCTGCATAAATTTGAATATACAGTGTTTGTACTGTTAGAAATTTACAATGTCAATGAAAAAGTCTACATTATAATTTTGATATCCCTCTCCTTTTTTTTTTTTTTAGTTTTTTCAACCTCTTAAAATTACAATGTGTTATCATTGGCAGTTTTTAATTTTTTTTATTTTTAAATAAATATCTTTTTTTTTTAATCTAACATATGATTTTGAAGAATTTCTTCCGTTTTACAAAAGAACTTAGACTAAAACCAAAAACTTATGTTGATTATAAATTTTTGAAAATTAACCTTTTTGGAAATTGTTACCGTAGAAACATTCAAATTATATAATAAGAATAAAATCGCAAATCAATTTTGGTCTTAGGTGTAAGTTCTTTTATCAGCAGGGACCTTGATTACAAAAATGTCTAATAGATGCATATTGATTCATGCACTTTAATTATTTTGATAGAATTAACAATCGCAGCATAGATATATCGTGTTAATTACCTTATGAAGTTAAATTATTATTATTAAAAAGTTTTAACATAATTGCAGGATCAAATGTGAGAGCAATTTCAATTACATGCATGTATTACAATGTAATCTTATAATTGATGGAGGTGGAATACAAGAACCAACCGGTTCTTTGTTTACAATGAATGTTATAAGTATATAGAAATTACCTTTTCAGCCTTTAATTACAATCGTAATAATTATTGAACAATTTCATGTGTATTTTTTCAAAAAAAAATAGTTGAAATATTGAACATTATTTTCATAGACTCAAAATTAAAATGCACAGCCATGTAAATTTTTCACTCATATGGAGACGCAACAACTTGAATTTGGAGAGCTGCAAATTCTGTCCTATTCTTGCCACTCAGGGCCACCAGGCAGGGAGGGATCTTTTTCGTGCCAACAACTTCTGCGACTTGGGACCTCGGTTTTTTTACGGTCTCATCCGAAGGACCGGTCCACAGGTGCCACATTGGGATTCGAGCCCGCAAATTAATGATCAGCTCCTTGCTTTGCTACTCTGGAGCAGACGCTCTAACCACTGCGCCTCGTGGACGACTTTATTAATTAGCATATTGAAGATTATTGGCATATTGAAGTTTAAGGAAAAGACAGATTGTTTTAGCTGCATTTTCTTGAACAGTAAAACGTGGGGTCTAAAAGCATATGATCTGCAATATCCATAATTATTACATGTGTATAAATAATTATTTCCACAACAAAACGTTCCTTATAACCGTTGTATTTAATAGCATTCCCAGTCTGAAATGGAAACAACCGAAAAGTTTAGCTATGTAGACTGCTAATTTGGACGGTAAAGATAATTCGGTCCCATGTGCTTCCTGAAACAAAGGAATAGTTTGAAAACGAATTTTTGTACAGTTGAGGTAAGAATTGGAGAAAATAATCCAAAAATGAGCGCAACTTTTGTGTGCAAAAAATATTCATTTTTTTTCTATGGGTGACATTGTTCTCTGGTCATCCATCACAATTTTTCAGACAATAGAGCTACAGCTCTGCAGCTAGACAAGGAGCACACGGCGGGTTTGACCGGTCTGCAGGGAATGCGCACTCCTCCATGGCACCTGACCCCACCTCCAATGTTATGGAGGTCCGTGTTTGCTCTGCTCCTATTTTGTATTGTTTTATGGACTTTTGAGGTTGGATACTGTTCGCTATCTCCATATATTACATTGTTGAAATTCTTGTAATATTAACTTATCTTTTTATATTCTGGCACTTGGAATGTTTTAATATCTTTTGATTTGTCATGAACAAAATTAATTACCATATAAAATTTATTTTCGTTCTAAATGAAAGAAAAACACGTCATTTAGCATGCATTTGACTTAATGATACATATAAAATTGCTGCCATAGCAATGTCATTGTATCGACTGTAAAAATTAGAAAATGATGGTTTTAAAAGAGACTGTTGATATTTTTTTAGTTTCGATCATCAACTTGTTTGACAATAAATTACAAATGTACCTTGTTAGAAATTGTTCATACGTAAAGCATACTCTTGCGTATCGAATCAACTGAGAGATACAAACTCTATATGCAGGTGGTAAGGGTATATTGCAGCGAAGGTAAGGGAAGATGACGATTGAAAAGTTAAGTCATCACGATTATAATGAAGCTTGATAGTAAGATTTTCATTAACGTGCGTCTTTTCTATTAAAATATTCAAAGAATATGAAACTGATGTTTCAGACTTTGTGGATTCTATTATTTTAGCTGACTGGGATGTATCGTATCTACACTGATATGGATGGAAATAATTATATTAAAGCTGAACACAATTCGTAAAAAGAATGTGTCCGCCATTTTCGATCGGACTCTCGCTATTAATTTAACGAGTTGTATATAGCCTTAATAATACATCATCAATACAGTTGAAAGTCACGTCTAGTATTTTCTTCAACTCTTCTTCAACTCGACATTCAGATATATCTATGGCACGCCAAATTCACAAAAATGAGCAAATCATAGTTTCACAATTGATAAACTAGGTTTATCGGTCGTAAACTATAGTTTACGGACTGTAAACCATAGTTAACAACAACGTTAATCTATATTTTACATCTGTAAACTATAGTTAACGCGATAATCTATGTTTCACAATCGTAAACTATACTTAACACCGAAAACGTACTATCATTTGTGATTGCAAAACATAGATTATCTGATAAATACAGTTTCACGATTTGTAAACTATAGTTTACAAACCGTTAACTATAGTTAACGATCTGATAAATATAGTTTCACAATTTGTGAAACTATGATTAACAACTCTTAACTATAGTTTACGATTGTAAACTATAGTTTACAAACGTGAATCTATGTTTATCAACAAAATCTATTGTTAACGCTTTATTACAGACAGATAAACTTGGATTAACATTCGTAAACTATAGTTAACAACCGTTAAATATAGTTTTACAGATGAAAACTATACTTAACGAATCGTTAACTATAGTTTACGGTTTGTAAACTATAGTTTACAGTCGATAAACCTAGTTTATCAATTGTGAAACTATGATTATCTCATTTTTGTGGATTTGGCGTGCCATATACAAATGTATATATCGACGACGTATTGTCAATTAACAATGGTCATTTCCATTCCTACGTCGATACAATATATCCTGGTGAGCTTGAGATAAAAGATACTACAGTTTCTGACACATCTGTTTCATACACGGATATTTTACATGAAAAAGACGTTAATGGTAATCTAACAACCAAGCTTTATGATAAACATGATGACTTTAACTTTTCTATCGTCAAATTCCCTTACTTATGCAGCAATATACCTTCATCACCTGCATACGGTGTGTATATATCTCAGTTGATTCGATACACAAGAACATGCTCTACGTATGAACAATTTCTAAAACGAGGTAACTTATTGACAAGCAAGTTGATGAAACAAGAATATCAGCAGTCTCTTTTAAAGACATCATTTTGTAAGTTCTATGGTCGATACAATGACTTTGTCATCAAATACAATTTATCATTCAGTCAAATGACGTTTTTCCTTACTAATTGTTAGCCCATTATTTATACACTGAATTGACGACGGATTTTTCCTTTATTTCCCGATCATCATGACAAGTAGCACACGATGAGTGTGACCGGTCAGCAGAGGATGCTCACTCCTCCGTAGCACCTGGTCCCACCTCTGATGTTTCGGAGGTCCGTGTTTGCTCTAGATCTGCTCCTATTTTGTATTGTTTTGCGGACTTTGAAATTGAATTCTGTACATCTCCATATCCTTCTTCTACTCACATCATGTATAAAATTTGAATAACTTCTGCTTCGTATAAATAGAAAAAAAGGACTGTTAATAACAGGGATCAATTGGTACTCATTAGAATTCTAACAGAAAACCTGTGGCCCTTTTCACAAAAAATCTTACGACTAAGACTAAAATTTCACCACACAGTAATTTTTTCCAATAAAGATATTTTTTTCAAATTAATTAATTACAATTTAATAATAGAATACTAATAATCAATGTACATAGAATTCCTGTCTATAATTAAGGTAGGATTCTTCTCTAGTTTCTGAGTAGATGAAATATTCAAAGTATATTTGCTTATATGTCTTATATATTTAGGTGTAAGAGATTTAAAAGACCATATTTTTCTTTCCTCGTCACAATTGTACAACTTTAAATAGAAATGGTAAACTGCATTTGAAAAATAACAGGGTCTATATTTTTGGCGGAATGGTGGCGTATGAAAATATCTTCTTTTCTGTCTCTCAAAATTGTTATAGAACATTGAATTTAGTTATAATTTTTACGCAATCATTTTTACGCAATCAAAGACGAGACGAAATTTTCAAGTGTAAATTAAATTAATAATAAGAGGCTAAATTTTCAAAATATATCAAATAAATAAGATTTTGCAGGCACGTAGCATCGTTTTTGAAAGTGGGGGGGGGGGGGCAACCAGAGAAATTTTGTTTTCACTTACCTGAAAAAGTTGACAAGCAAAAAAAAAAAAAAAAACAAAAAAAACAAAAAAAAAAAAAAAAAAAAAAAACCGGAAAAAAAAAAAAAAAAATCCACGGAAGTGGCCAACTTTTTTTTTAAAGCCAAGTTACATTCTATTCCAATTTTTGGAGACATTTCTTTGATAACACTATACTATGGTCGAAAAGTATAACACTATACTATGGTCGAAAAGTGGGGGGGCCAACTATCCGTTCAATGAACATTTCCTATAGCGAAGGTAATGGGGGGGGGGGCCCCCCCCCCCCCCCCCCCCCCCCCCCTGTTGCTACGTCCCTGTTTTGCACACATACTAGAACTATGTTGGCTTTCATATGGGGGGGTAAAAAGTGTTATTTCTCTCTTAGTAAACGATCAAAACTTTTGCCAACTTTTTTTTAAAGCCAAGTTACTTTTTATTCCAATTTTTGGAGACATTTCTTTGATAACACTATACTATGGTCGAAAAGTGGGGGGGGGGGGGGCAACTATCCGTTCAATTAATGAACATTTCCTATAGTGAAGGTAATGTTGGGAAAAAAAGTGGGGGGCCAGGCCCCCCCTGTTGCTACGTCCCTGTTTTGCACACATACTAGAACTATGTTGGCTTTCATATGCTTCAAATCTAAGTACAGATTTGAGCCAAAAATCCGTAAAAAGTGTTATTTCTCTCTTAGTAAACGATCAAAACTTTTAGCTTTTGTATCAATTTGTACCTTTATGTGACAACTTTACTATATGTGAAAATGAGAAAAAGTTAAATATGGGAAGCATATAAAAATAACTAATATATCCTAAAAATTTAAGAAAATTAGAGGAAATTCGGATTAGCAAATATCCATTTTATTTGAATTATCTATGTCAATTTGGTAATATCATCTTATAGGCCCTATATGGTTGTATCTTTTTATGCAAAAAGAAAAACATTCAATCTTTTGAATTACAAGTAAGGATCGCATGATTGGAAACAGTAATTTCTTATTCTTTATGTCCAGGAAAAAGGTCATGACCTTGACCTGACCTTGCCTCTAATATTAAACGGTCAAATTTGATCTCACTGATACCATCACTTAGTGATAATGTCCTCTTGATTCTGTGAAAATTTCATTAATGTTTAAATACAAGAAATGTGAGAAGAATCCTACCTTAAGCTAGTTTCATGATAGTATCAAAATATCAAATTTTCAGCACACATTTGTTAACTCAACCTATTTCTTTCTTCGTTATACCACACTGCTAAATGAATGTGAAAATAATAACAAACTAAATGAGATTTCATTGCGAGCAACGAGTAGGTCTTCCGTCTGATTTTTCGATGAGATATGACTTTGACTATGATCTTTGTTAAAACATTAATGATATCAAGCTTTCTCTCTTTTGAATAAAGTCTTTTAATTTAAATAATATTATCAAAGAGTTATTGATTTTTAAAAGTCTTAAAAGCCTTTTTGTCCCTCTGGACCCCTTATTTGAGGGGTAAGTAACTTTTTCTTCCATTTCAAATGACAAGGCTCATGAATTTAAAGATTTTTGTTCAGAAACTATTTAGAAATTTCTTACCGTTTTCGAGCTAGAATATATAGGAATATTCTAGAAATATATAGGGACCAGCCCTACAAGCCCTTAATGGGTTATTCTTGTAAATATTGAATGGTTGTTTATTGTTTAGAATGCGATTCTTTTATTCAGTACTGCTTATCGAAATATTTCTCCCTTTGGAGGTATAAAGAATCAAAGATTTAGCATTTTGGTCCCTTTTTACGTAACATATAATCATGATTTTACAATATACATGTATCAATACAGATTGTTAAGATAACCATTTTTGCTTCAGAAATGTATAACAAAATCTTGATAGTTAAAGAGTTACAGATTAAAACGTTTTGGCCCCTCTAGGGCCCTTATTTGAGGGGGTCAGCTCCTTTGTCGTCATATCAAATGATAAGGCTAGTGATTTTAAAGACTTTTTGTTCAACAACTACTAAAACATGTATTCAGAATATTTTCTCTTCATTTTTCAGCTATGCAGAATAGAAATATAATGGGGCCAGCCCTTCGAGACCTTCATGGGGTCGTTTTGCAAAAACTGAATAGTTGTTGGAAACAGAAGACCTCAATATACCATAATTGATTAGACTTTTAAAATTCCAGATTTTCATTTACGTAAGCTACAGATTCCAGTCCGATAATGCACTAGATTTCCAACTCATGAATGGAAACATCCTATTTTCTTCAATTACTGTTAATAGATTTCCACTTCTTGTAATGTCTTACAAACTGTTCAAAAATTGTATACTTTTATTTCAATTTCAAATCAATGAACTAAATATATTCTAATAATTTACAACTGTTTAAATACTTATCTTATTCTAACATCGTTTACATCTTTTTTTTTAATTGAATGCTGGTTCTTTCGGTGCCAATCATTGCTCTTACAGTCAATTTTTGAAACATATTTCTTGATTCTTTAAAAAAATATTTTCCATAACTGTCCAATAAGCAATACTAAGGAGTCCAAGGTTTTCAAAATATGACAATTGCATTTAATGCATATTTAATTTTTACTGAATTTTTACTTTCTACTAGTAAATTAAAAAACTTCATTTCAAAGTTTATGCCACTTTAACCAAAGTCAAGCACACAATCTGCAACATTTAATTGATTTTTACATATCAAAAAAATATCCTGAATCTGATTTTAATTACAAAAATTTTGATACACATTACACACTAAGTATATTTAGGAGCACTCAGTTTGATAAAAATGTCATTGTCCAAAAACTTTATGGACAATCCTTTTAAATATGTGAAACACAACTAAACATGTCCATTTCTAAATAAAGTAATTAAAACTTGTCAACATTCAACTCAAGATTTATTCTGTAGCATTACTTTTTTTTTCTTTTAAACAAATAAATTTATCAGAAATGGTTCCATAATTTTGCAAATTCTAATGCAACCATTGTAACGGTTTCATTACACGAAATATATTTTTAATGTTCTATACAGTTCTGTACAGTGTGTAAATGTTATTAAATTGAAACTTGGTTCAAATATAAATAAATAGAATTTTGTACAAGGCATGCTTTACTGAATATAAAAGGTCCAGTCATGCTTTATTTCAGTACAATCAGCATAGGTTAGATGTTTTCCACTGTCGCATTATCCCTTTCACAGAAATCAGCTGACGTTATATAAAGTCATCATCATAAAAGTCATTATATTCGCCAGTAGAAGCAGCTGCCAGGTCACCAAAGTCATTGTCACGTTCCGCTTTTATCACAATTTTCTTCTTGTTTTTCTTCTTTTTGTCCTGCTCCTGTAAATGATAAATTGGTTGATTAAGACATTTCATACAATTACGTAACTGTAGTGTATAATTTTTAATTTTTGAAAGCAAATTCTAACATTTTTTTAAAAACAAAACTTAAGTATTTTCTACTGTGAAAAAATTATGTACGTTCAGCTAATATATTAAAATGTTGATTCTTTTTTTTGTCAGAGTAAAAAATCAAAATATGGCTATATTTGTGGCAAATTTAAATTCTCTTTGAAATAGAAATTCATGAGATATAAAATTCTATCACATGCTTCTAGTAAAAAAAAGTTTGAAAGATATGCCATTTTTGGTCTTGAAAATATGGTACAAGTGCTCCTACATTTTTTAATCATTATGTTGAATAAATTAAATTCAAGATACATAAAAAACAGCAAAAGCCTAACTTTTCATAAACCAGTGAGAAGAATGGCCATACCTTTTGTTGTCTCTGCTTTTCGTGAAATACTGTGTTTAGAGTTGCACCAAGTTTTTTCACGTCGTCACATTCTACTGCAAGTAAAATCATACAGAAATATTAGTTTTACTTTTATAATGGCTGGGGAAAAAATGTTGCACAAATTCAAGTGGCCTATCAATTTCATTTCTTAGAAGGAATGGTTTTGATGATATTATTACTTACATGAAACAACTAAATCTGTGAATAATTTTTCTAAAAATGGAACATAATATTTGGATTTCTGAAACAAAAATGAGAAAATAGCATTTAAAAATAGTGGTTAAAAATATATCAATAAGTGAAAAAAAAATTTAAGATATTTTGATATACATGTACAAGTGATCATACTTCAAAAAATGAGATTTTTGTTTTTAATGCATCCTCAAACTTGTTGTATTCTTCTTCCGTTTCTGGGTACATTGTGTCGATTCCTGTTATTTCAACTCCTGCAGAAAAACAAACACATTAGATGCCAGAAAGTTTCAAAAAAGATAATAAAAATTAATATGTCATATTTTATGTTAACATTAAACTGTTATCATTAGAACCCCATCCTAGTATTAGTAAAAACTATCTCCCTAACAATAAGAATTGATGCTTTCTTTCAAACAATAGTTGAAAAAAAAAAGAGCAGACAAGTTTTTACCGAAAGCCTCTTTGGCAAGTTTTAAATCAGCCTCTTTCTGGATTTTTTCCCTGCGTAATTTTTCTGCCAATTCTTCTTCAGCTGTTAATGGTGTGCTCTGTTTCTTCTCTTCTTCCTAAGAAATAGTAATTAGGCCATGCAAAATTAATTCCTTGGTTCTCAGGCCTTTTTTCAAGAAATATGACGAGGGAAGGAGGCATTTTTTTTTTTACTTTTTATTGCCCCAATAACATGATGAGGCAGCTTTTTACATTGTACAAAACCTCAAAAAATGATGAGGGAGGTGATTTGTTTTTATTTTATTGATTTAGCAATAAAAAGGGTCAATGAGGCACCCTTGGAAGAGATGAGGGAGGGCTTGAGAACCAAGAAATTAATTTTTTTGGCCTTACAGTGTGTTAAATAGATTGAGTCAAGGTTTCTTCTACTTTTGCTCATTTGGACATTCAAGTAAGCTTGGTGTCTTCAATACATGCACACTTCCATTTATCAAAAGATTATATGACTTTACAAAAATATGGTTTGAAAAATACATCTTGAATTTCAATATATCAGCAAGCTATGAAGAGTGACATATGGTCAAATTTCAGGATTTCACTTATGCTGTTCTGTTAGGAAAATTGAGTCTACATCCTTCCTTAAAAAACAATACAATCTCTAGGACCTCTGGAATCACATGATACATAACTATTTCTGGATAAACACCACTGACCTCAGATGCTGCCTTTGCAGCTTGTTTTTCTGCTATTCTCTCTGCCAGTGGTTTCTTTTTCTTTCTTTGGAAAGGTTTGGAGTCTGAATCTACAGGTGATAAAATTTAAATGACACTACAGAGTATAGAATACATCTAATGTCATTTGTTAAAATTAACTTTTTATGCAAAACAAAAACCTCATTTAATGAATTACGGATATAGCGAAGTATAGGTCCCAGTGACTTCATTAAAACCGAGTTATACTGTACCTGTATTAATTGATTGATTGTATGTTGTTTTACACCATGTTTGAGAATTTTTCACTATTATACAGACATCACTATAAACCAGTATACATATAATCAAAAGTTAGGCCATAGATAAGATTCATACCAGCATTTTCTTCTTTCTTTTCTTCATCCTCTTCATCTTCCCAACTTTCCTAAAACAAATTGTTTTCAAATTAAAAAAAAGAAAAGCTGGAGACCAATACCTTGAGGTTAAAATTTCGGAAGATTCTCACGTGTGGATACCGAAAGGTATTCAATAGGGTCTGTAACTAAAGTATAAACTAACAAGAGGCCCATGGGCCACATCGCTCACCTGAGCACTAAAGGTAGGAAAAAAGTAGAAAATGGCTTCTTATTGTAAAGTTTAAATCCAAAAGTAGTCCCATGACCAATCATGGATTTGTTATTTTTAGAAAATGATTTTTAAAGAATTTTCTTATATATAACTTTAAAAACTTTGGTCGGCCATTTTGGCCCCGCCCTACCCCTGGGGGTCATGATTTGAACAAATTTGAATCTACACTACTTGAGCATGCTTCCATATAAATATGATGAATTATGGCTTTGTCATTCTTGAGAAGAAGATTTTTAAAGAATTTTCCTATATATTTCTATGTAAAAATCTGGTCGGCCATTTTGGCCCCACCCTACCCCCGGGGGTCATGATTTGAACAAACTTGAATCTACACTACCTGAGTATGCTTCCATATAAATATGATGAATTATGGCTTTGTCATTCTTGAGAAGAAGATTTTTAAAGAATTTTCCTATATATTTCTATGTAAAACTTTGGTCGGCCATTTTGGCCCCGCCCTACCCCCGGGGGTCATGATTTGAACAAACTTGAATCTACACTACCTGAGGATGTTTCCCCATAAGTTTCATCTTTCCTGGCACAGTGGTTCTTGAGAAGATGATTTTTAAAATATGCCACCAAATTTTCATTAATTCCAAATTATCTCCCCTTGAATGAGGGCATGGCCCTTCATTTAAATAAACTTGAATCCCCTTCACCCAAAGATACTTTGTGGCAAGTTTGGTTGAAATTGGCCCAGCGGTTCTTGAGTAGAAGTCGAAAATGTGAAAAGTTTACAGACAGACGGACGCCGGACAAAATGTGATCAGAAAAGCTCACTTGAGCTTTCAGCTCAGGTGAGCTAAAAAGTATAAAACAGATCACCAACACTTAGTGAGAATGCAGCAGTAAATTTATTTTGTTGACTGGTTTCTACCTGTGACTGTCGTCATCAGAACAATCTGGCATGTTTTCAAATTAGTAGAATAATATGTTTTACGGTGTGACCGTTGAGGCGAGCGCAGTTACGTACTATCATAAACCTACACATGTACTGCCTATCATTCAAGAAAAAGAAAGAAAAAAGAAAACAATAAAGAGAAATCACTTCCAAAGCATCGGGATCGAGATTCCGAACTTCTCGGAAGTTTCCGAGAAAATCAGAAATACCCGAACCGTTAAAGTGACGAAAGTATGACGTCAGATAAAAAGTACAGTTGACTTAGGACGAAACGATATTTTTATGGCATGGAGATTGCATTAAATTGTTGTTCGTAATTTTTTTTCAAGTAATTTGTTGCTATATAAGCCACCATGTTGCTATGCAGCGCAAAGGATTATTGGGAGTTTGGAATATTTTCACACGGTGAGATAAAAATTTCTTGGAACAATGTGCAGATTTCAACCCGAATTTCCTCCGTTCGTACACGTTAGTCTATTGAGCTCGTTACGCGAGCGGCGCTTTGCGCCGCCTCGCTGCGCTCGCTATTATTTTTAATGCTTGTCAGTAGTTAATAGTAATTTACATGAAATAAATCCTTTTGTAGACATGGCGGGTGTAAGCAGTTGGCAGGTGATGCTCACTCCTCCGTGACATCTGATCCTACCTATGATGTTTTAGAGGCCCGTGTTTGCTCCACTCTTATTTTGTATAGTAAAATGAACTTTTAAGCTCGAATACAGTTATACTGTTCGTTATCTCCACGTTTCACATGACACAGTTGATGAACAGCTGTCAGGACTGTTTTAATGTTCTTTCATAAATAACAAAACCATTACGAAAAATCACATTCTAACATTATACTCACCTAAATGACATTTCTTGTTAAAAACTTTATCAGTATGTATTGAAGATGGATTGAATTCCTACGGAAAAGTAAAAATTTTTCACAACGTAAATAACAGGCACTACCTTGACGTCATCTTCATCCTCGCCTTCCCACCGATCTGACGGTTTATTGCCAAAATCTCCTGGCTCAAAATCATCTGCATCTGAAAATGAAAATAATCAGTTATTGTTTCTTATTCATATACACACCAATCACATAAAATAAGAGTTTTAAAATGCCACATGATGTACCCCAGGCGTCCGACATCTTGGATGAGTAAAATCTCGCGCCAACGAGAAAGCTGTTCTTCAATCTAATTTATTTTTTTTAAAGAAATATTCCAGACATTGTATTTATTGAATTTTATAATTTATATAGGCATAATTATTTTTTAACATTCTTTTTATGTTTAAAAATATATAATCTAAACCAACACAGGTGGTATTTCCGGAATTTTATTTTTCATTTTTAAAAATACTTTTTGTCCTTAAATCGATTCCTCTTAAATGAGTCAATTTCCTGGGTCTGGATCTTACATCTCATATTTTCTCCAATTTTTATATTTCATTTTAGATGTTAAAAAACGAACTTTTCGAATCTTTATTTATTTCGGAAATTTTACTTTTACGGTTTTCCTTCTTTGATTTATTGACTCAACAACCTGTTGTTTACATATGGCGGATAGAGTAGGCGGATTTTTATGTAAATGTGACAAAACTACCAAATTGATGAGAAGCAATAGCTTTATAAGGAAAAATTGAGGGAACTTTTTGAATCACACACAATGTCAAGTGGAAAAGCACCATCTGGGGCGAAACCGAAGCAGGTGAAATATTCAATTTATTGTTTCTTTCCCTTTTTTCATCATCAACATCTTCTTCCTCTTTCTTTAAATTACAAGCCACCTTCTGGTGTAATGTCGTGATCAGACTTTCCCAAAAAGAAGGAAACAACGATCAAATTTACAAATTACAGGTCATCTTTATCAATAAAGATCTGTGAATATTTTTTTTATCAATAAATTACCAAAAGCTAGTATCATAAGTATGGGCATTCTTTATCACTGTTTATGCAATATCAGTTTGTTGTAAGAGAAGATCTTGTTTGTTTAACTAAGAGAGAGAGAGTTTGATACTGAATACATGGGAATTTTTGTCCTTGTTTTATTTTCGCCCCTTTCGCCCTTCCTTCATTTGGGCGAATTTAAAACAGAGCGAAAAACAGAGCGAATTCAAAGACTACAGTGTATAAATTTCTTAAACAAAACTATGACTGGATGAATTTTAAATGGGGCAAAATTGTTTGTAAGGGTGAAAGGGTGAACATAACCCTGTATACAGTATTACAACCTCAATTTACTTAACTTTACTCAGAATCATAGGCTAAGGTATTCTGTTTCCAAGAGAATAACAGGGTTTGACATATAGTAGCCTGCAGGACTAGCAAATTTTATTTTTACTAGCCCTCATCATTAGGGCTGCCACGGTTCAGACATTTTTCGGTTCGGTTCGGTTCAGAAAATAAATTCTCGGTTTTCGGTTTTTTCAATTTGGTTTTCATTTTGAGAATTTAAATAAAACATCTTTGTATATATCAAAGGATAATAAGGATTAAGGACATTGTAGAAAGTACTATTTTGCTGACACAAATTTCTATCCATTTTATTCAACAGAACAAGTTGTTAAATGTAACAAAAAATAACAAAGTAATAAACTTCTTGTTTAAAATAAAATAAAATGAATATACATGTAGTTATTGACTAGAGTTATCTTGTTTCAAACAATTGAAACATTCAAAACGTGAAGTATTCCCACACTTGTGATTTGGTTTTCCTTCCACATGTGCACCCGGAGTTCCTCGGATGACTCGTACCTCGCACATAACGCGTTTGAATGGAGCGTAGCGGAGTCAGCCGAGGATTACCGACTGCCACATGTGTATGCCATGTTTAAATGTCTTCGATGTTACCTGTATTTTCATTGGTTAAAGAACCCTTCATTGAAATAAACAACCAATCACAACGCGTGTTGCAAGCAAATTAGTATTATATAAAAGATTAAAAAAAAACGAACCGAATTCCGGAAAACCTGACTCCAAAACTGACTCGAGTTTTCGGTTAACCGTGACAGCCGTACTCATCATGAATAATCTGTGATTCTGGACAATCCCACCATGTGTCTGTTGGACATTTATCAATTTAATGATAGAACATATTCTATCTATATGTAGTTACTCAATGTATACCAGCCTTAATTTGAAGGCTGCTGACCAAGCTGCAAAGCCAAGGGGGAGTAGGTGTTACCCAATCCTATTTTTAAAGAATAGATTTTCATTCTAAATATTTCATTTCTTTTTTAGGCTTCTCAACAGACTAAAAACACCAGTCAATCTGTCGCCCCTCGGGGTACAGGAAGGGGGACAGGTCGCGGAGCAGGGAGGGGAGCTGGGAGCCAGGCATTGGTACCGCGTGGTAACAGACAGATAGCCATGACGAAAGACGCTGAAGGAATGCTCATCCCGGAGGGTTTGCATATATTTATATAAATCCTTTTTTTATATGCATAAATCCTTATGACAATGTATTATTTTTGAAAATTCCTCAATAACTTTTTTTTAAATCTGCTTGACTTTATTGATAATTATCAATTTCATTACTTTTTCCTGTAAATTAAATTCTTCATAAGCACTCTATTTTATTTGAGTTAGATGGAAATAGAGGTTGGTAATTTTACATTATTCCATTTAAATGAATGCTCCTTCAGTCATTGTATTTTTTGTGGTTATATTTCTTGAATAAGCTTTGCGTTGGCTTTGATGCGTGTAGTATGTGACTCCTGCATTTCCAGCATAATGCCAGGATTAAATTAATGATTCATAATGGTTAAAAATAATTACCGATAAATGTGATAAAAATTTGCTAATTTTTGTTTGATACATATTTAAATCAAAAACATTTTGCAATAAAGTCAGAAAAGTAAAACAGTCCCTGATTAATGCAAACCTGTATTATAAATACAGAACTATTTTTTCTCTTCCCTTTTTTGCAATCTTTTTCAAAGTTTAGTTTTAGTCATACTCAAATTTCATTGATGATCTTTAAATAAAGAAATAAAGAATTGTTGAAATCCATATTTTAGGTTACACAGTGAGAAAAATTCAGCCAGCAAAAAACTATGATGTGGTGTCTTTTGCAAGAGCGATGAATGATGACTTTGCCCCGAGACTAAAAAAACTCTTTGATCCTGAGACAGAGGCAGCCCTTGAAGCTCAGAAAACTGGTATAGTTGAAATTAAAAAAAAAAACTTAAAACTTTTAATTTTCTTTTTATTTTATTTGTTGTATTTTAAGACAAGTGATACAAAGATTTATTATCACCTATTTTTGCTTTCTAAATTTGTATTTCTTCTTTAAATATATAATTTAATCACTTTTTCTCTAGGTATTTATATTGGATGGAGGTGTCCAGAATTCAAGCATGATTGTCAGAGAGTGAATAAAATGTCCAAATGTTTTTGTGGTCACTTACTTGGGGAGCATGATAAATATACAGGTAAAAACTGCAGGATTTGCTTTGTTAATTACAGATTTAAAAACATTATTTCCTTACATTCAAATTTTTTTTTTTGTATTGAAAGTATTTTGTTTCTCCCAGACAAAGAGATATAAATTAAACAAAAATAAAACCAAGCACTGAGTCATAAAACTTTATTCAATTCATGACACGCTTACAGGCAATTTGAATGTTTTCATGCAAATGTCTTTTATTAAAACCTTTCATTATGAGGAAAGAAAACTGTTTTATCCTGTTTTACATCTATAGGTAAAAGTATCCGTGTGCCGTGTAAACAGGGAGGCTGTAAATGTAAGGCTTTTGCGTGGATTCCGTCCCGACCTGAGGATGTGGGAGAATTTTGGTTCCAGAGGAGACGAGATTTTGATCCCAGCACGTGGCGAGCAAAATGTCGATGTAAGCACACCCACGAAGAGCATGATGCAGTAATGAGGCGATGTAAATCACGAGGTTAGTACACAGCACAATTAAAACCATTTAATTGGCTAGCCGCCTTAGATTTCTAAAATTCAATACAATTTATATTGAATATTAGAAAGAAAGAGCAGAAAATTTATTTTCCTGAAATATTGGCCATCAGTATCATTTTTGAATAATTAGTTTTAAAAGATATTATTGCTCAATTTTTTTCATCAGTAGTTTGATCTTTGTATAATATTTGATGAAAAGTCTTTTTAGTTCCTGAGTAATTTGTTATTTTTTAAATAAATAAATCTTTGAATCCTAATACAGGTTGCAGCTGTGGAATGTTTGATTCTAACTTCCTGTGCGCTGCTTGTGACAAGCATTGGGAACAACATGAAACGTTTTTCGAGACAGAGGATGAACGAAGACAAAATGGCCTCCCAGTTGGTAAGAAGATTTTATGTAATTACATGTATTTGCATAAAAATAATGATTGCATCATAATTTCAAAACTGAACTTTGAAAATTAATCCAATTTTTAAGCCAAAACCTCTCCATTTGGTTTAGGTGGTGACAATATTCAAGAATTCTTTGACTGCAAGTGCCTTTCATAACCTATATCTTGTGTTCCAAGTTCCATCCATTCACATGCAAATTGTTTTAAACTGAAGCACTTTATTTTTGAGGCATTCAGAAGACAGGTCTTAGATTTTAATGATATTACATCGATATTGCATGATACAAACGATTCTTTTTCCAGGAGAAATGTACTTGCCATTTGCGGAGATGCCAAATCTACGTAACATTGCCTTAACTGGGGACGAGTTTGATGATAGTACTTACCTGGCCCTGACTCAGGGGGAGGGGACTATCCCCCAGTCCAGCAGACCTGTGGGTAATGAAGCTCCTGTGAACTTTGGTGGGGGATCAAAGAGTGGCTTCAAACCAGTATACGACTAAACAGTGTCAAGTCCTGCATGTATCAGTGTGATATTTTATAATTATATTTAAATTATCATTGCCACAGTTTATGTGATGTTGATTTTGATTTAGCAATATGGATATTTCTGAATACATTGTCTTTACTGTATACTAATTTATGCCGCTAATGATTAAGAAAGGACATATTTGGGTTTCTGTACAATAAGCACATTTTTTAAAGATTGAGTTAATTCCCTTGAAATGTGATTTATTTATTATGTCTGTCTTCTTCTTATGTTTGTGTGTGTTGTCTTGTTACTTTATTTTTCAATTAATTTTTTTTTTGGGGGGGATTAAATGAATTGGAATATTATGCATGTATATACATGTACAACATATTTTAATTAGAAGAATTCAGGAGGATTGAAATTTGGTTATGTGCATGATACTGATAAAGTATTGTAGATAATATATTTTTATATAAATATTGTATTATAATCTACAACTACACTTTATACATGTATGTGTTCACATGTAGCAGTTTGGTTATTTGCACGCTTTCAAATCGTAGATTAGTTTGTCATTGCTTTTGTAGTCAATCAGACATTGACTCATGCAGTTGGCCTTGTGCTCAAATCTCACAGTGCATCATCTTTTCTGTGCATGCTTTTTTGTTTGTTTACATTACTTCTTACTGGTCTCAGAATTGTTCTAATAATCTAGGTTATTATTTTGTTTTTTATTCCTTTTCAAGTGCTCATATGGTTATTTGATTCTATTTTTTAAGGTCTATTTTTGCAGATAAATACGTGAAAGTTACTGGCATGGAAATTACATGCAATTGTTCAGTTATCATCATTTTTATTTGTATCTCTGTTTGTTTGTTAAATGTTTGTTGTTTTTTTTCGTTTTATTATTGATGGAATATACATGAAGTACAAATACATCAATTAACAACAATACATGGTATTTTCACTACATGTATTCATATGTACCAGGCCATGTGTTATAATATATTGGTGAGTCGATATTATTTAGTTAACTTAATTTAATTAGTTAATTGCCTTTGAAAATGGTGCTTTTACTGTCACTAGATCACAAGCCTTTGGATCATTTAAATCTGACTTTAAAAAAAATTGGGATGCATATAAAAGGTAATTTTTTTTACACCTCAGTTTTTTTGTAAACAATCTAAAGGCCTATGCTCTAGATTTTTGCTTGTTTGTTTGTTAATTTGTTTGTTTGGGTTTTTATTGTTTTCAATTATTTTTGTTTCAGAATAGAAAAATACACTGTACATGTATTTGTATATAAGTTCATATATGTATAATCATAATGTGATGTACAGTTGCTGTTCCATCCAGTTATTCATACCTACTTTAAATTCTTTGAAATTGCTTGTTTATACCATACATGTATAAACATTGTATATTGTAGCAGTATTTATGGCACATGTTTTCTCATTCTTAGGCGAAGTCAATTTTCAGTTTTGCATAAGTATGTTTACGGTCTGTGATACATATACATTTTTTAATTTTTTTTTAATTAGAAATGTATTTCTTTTCATTTAGAAGGAATCTGTTGATTTATCTGCTACAAGCAATATATTCAGTCTATTAAAATTATTTATAAACTGTCTTGATTTGTATCATTATTATTAATATTTTAAATTTAAAAAAGTGAAGATTTTTTGGGATATGTTCTAACTTTGCAGTTTATTTTGATGCTAGATGTACATACTGTAGCACCAAAAAAAAAATCTAGAGGTATCGTGAGCAGTGAGCTCACTATACATGATGCCTCTGACCCCCCCCCCCCCCCCCCCTGTAAGTGTATAATTTAAATGGCATTAAGTCCATGTTTGCTCTGGGATAGCAGATAAAGACTCATGCAGATAAAAAAGTAAAATAGGAGGTGACAAAGGCATTATATAATAAAGAATCTGTGAAAGTATCATAAAATTTTATTCAGTAGTGTAAAAGGAGATGTGAATAAGAGATGGGTCAGTGACCCTTCAATATATAGAAAAAAATATTTAATGGCAGTGTCATTGTTTTAATTGTTATGGGAAACCTGAAATATTTTGTATCCAATCAAAAAGTAAAATAGGATCGAAGTACACCATGGCACTACATGCCATCTCAAAGAATCTGTGAAAGTCTCGATCATTAAATTTCATTTAGTTGTACAGCAAAACTCGGTTACAACGAAGTCACTGGGACCTATGAAAATACTTCGCTGTATCCGTAAATTCATTATAACTGTGTAAGAAATTCATTAAATTTATATACTGAGTTTTATAAAAAGACATGTAGTAAACGAGTTTTATAAAGACAAATCTGACGTTTTCCTGGCTTTTTTACGATTTTGATATTTTACATGCCAGGAATTATCAAAATCGTAAAAAGGCCAGGAAAATGTCAGATTTTTCGGACTAAAAGACATGCAGCTTGGAGTTAATAGGTATCCGATCCATAATGTTAAACCTCAGATTCAATGAATTTGAATGCATAACAGATATATATTGACTGAATTAACTCAGTTACATGAAGATATAATCTTCATGTTTTAGCCTCAATATGTAGGAGCGGAATGTGTCCTAATTCTTGACCTTGACCCGTCCTTGAAGAGGTATTCCCCTTTGCTTTTTAATCAATAAAATTGATTTTTAATACATCTGTTTTAATTGTTTTTCTATTCTTAATAATAATATGCATGCATCTTTCCACCAAAGCATTTTTTGATATTCATAGTATTTAATTTTTTATTTTAAAAAAATTGTGTTTTCCCGTAGACTTTAATGCATTCTTAATTAATTAATTACTGCTCAGATAATTATATTTTTGACAAAATTTTTTCTGGTACAGGTAAACCCTTTTCTACTCTTAACTACTTTGAATTAGTTTCAGAGTATTTAATATAGGATGAATATATAAGGTTAGAAAAGTTATGTTCTTTTATTGATCGGATGTACCAAGTAATTGCATATAAGTAATTAATGGGTACCCAAAGCGTAATTCAGATGGGCGGACATACAGACATCCCTATCCCCAAATACCACCCTCCAAATTTTCAAGCAGAGTCATAATCAAATTAAAGCTATGCTAACTTCATTAATTTTTTTTTGAGGGGGGGGGGGTGACTTGGTTTTATTTAATTGAAAGAAACTATGATAAACTTTTGAGCTTTAGTGCACTTTGATGCATGGATCTTAATTTTTCACATTCATTTCTTTCATTTATATACCACCAGACACCATATTTAACTCTGTCGCCTGAGTCATTTATTTCTGGATAGTTTTTTTTTTTTTTAAATAATCTAGGAGTCTACAAGTAAATAAAATTGGGTGTTGTATTTTAAATTTCACTTGAAATTCATAATGTTTAAATGACTTGTGTGTTGTTCTTAACAATCCTTCCTTCATTTTACTTTATTTCATATATTTTTTTTCAATCTCGAAATTCCTGAGTTCGAATTATTTGATTTTCTATTTTCGTTTTTCACTACGCATGCGCCAAAATCCGACGCTTTTTCCTGCAGTGAGTAAACATGACCATCGCTGTATGAAACGAAGCACTTGTTTCAAGGTGGACAGCTAAATATTAGCATAAGTAAGATTTGATAATTTGACATTATGATTTTCTTTTTAAGGAAGCTCTTTGACAAAGTGCATCACAGCACGCGTTTGACATTGCCCAGTTATCGTGTGAACACCATAACACTACAGAGACATTGGATTGGATACTGTTTATCAGTTCTCTGTTATTGTTGCATAATTTTACGACTTCAATTAATTTGTCATTATTTGTTAAAGGTGATAAGTAATATCTTGAATTTCACGAAACACTTGTCTAGAGGTTACATCTTTAATCTGTTTAAAAGTTTATAAAACTATCATTGCCGTTAGATTGTCTTTTAAAAATCCAAGCGTTAAACTATTATGAGTCATAACTTTGCATCTTTTTGTTTAATTTAAATAAAAGAGCAAATTTGAGAAAAGTTGCAATGCTGTCTCCAGATTTTTTTACAAAAATTTTCAGGGGTGGGACGATATACGATACATACCGATATTATCCTCTAAGATACGGTTTACGATACAAGCATTCAAATATCGGTACGAAACGATACACGAACGACCTAACTTTGTTAATCATGCCCCGCAGGCATTTAAACCAACACAGGTGTTTAACACCCATGCGTACACAGTGATCATAAAGACAGTTTATCTGTCAGACAATTAAAATTCTGTTAGAAGCCAATCTTTGTATACCGGTAATTCAATGTACTTCTTGTGTACAAAGCTTTTAATAATTATTATATTTAATTAAAATTAAAAAAAAAACAGTAATGACTGAGTAATTAAATATAGGAATTGAATGGCAACAAATTATTTCACTCATTGTACATTTAGATAAACATAAGACAATAAAAAAAATTTAATATACTATTTCAATTTATCGCTACTACCGGTAATAAATGGTAAAAACACTACAGTTGTGATCGTGAAAAATTTCCATATTTTAAATTTTGATACGGTTGCGGTTTTACTTTTAGTACACGATAGCAATTCCTAACTTCACAAGATGGATACCGCATGATGTTAATGGATAATACGTTTAGGAATTATTTAATAGATGAAGCAATGTTGTTTTCCTTTGTCATCAATGGATAATTAATGGAATTTATTCTGTAAGAAAGCTATAGAATAAATATTTTATTGTTTACCGGGGCATTAATTTTTTTGCGAAAAATAATCAAAAAAGTAACGAAAGTGGCACAAATTTGCTTTGAAATTGACGTAAATTTTACTGGTTTGGGGGCATTTTTTGTAAACTTGAGCCTTAAATAGGTCTAATTCTGAATATTGGGCAATCCCAGCGGTTCTGAGAAAAAAGTATCGACCTATATTCCGTAAATTACGGTACTAAATGTAAATGTGATGTTTTAAATGAAATTTTAGTCAGTGTTCTTTGGTAAATTCACAACTATTTGTAAACAACTTGTTAATAGAAATTTGGTAATAATAATATATACATGTATTATTATTGTTTTTGTAAAGTTAAGTCAATGAAATTGATGAACTTCAAGTATTAATTTCAAAGCACACATGATTTGATGTAGAATGATTTGTTGATATAATGTCAAGACAAAAAAAATGAAATAAAATACTAATTCTTTTGAATAATTTTTAGCTCACCTGAGCCGAAGGCTCAAGTGAGCTTTTGTGATCAAAATTTGTCCGTCGTCTGTCGTCGTCGTCGTTGTTGTCGTAAACTTTTCACATTTTCATCTTCTTCTCAAGAACCACTGGGCCAATTTCAACCAAACTTGGCACAAAGTATCCTTGGGTGAAGGGGATTCAAATTTGTTCAAATGAAGGGCCACGCCCTTTTCCAAGGGGAGATAATCATGATTTAGAGAAAAATTATTGGCATTTTTAAAAAATCTTCTCCTCAAGAACCACTGGGCCAGGAAAGATGAAACTCATGTGGAATCATCCTCAGGTAGAGTAGATTCAAGTTTGTTCAAGTCATGACCCCCGGGGGTAGGGCGGGGCCAAAATGGCCGATCAAAGTTTTACATAGGAATATATAGGAAAAATCTTCTCAAGAACCATTGAAACAGGAAAAATGAAACTCATGTGGAATCATCCTCAGGTAGAGTTGATTCAAGTTTGTTGAAGTCATGACCCCCGGGGGTAGGGCGGGGCCAAAATGGCCGATCAAAGTTTTACATAGGAATATATAGGAAAAATCTTTAAAAATCTTCTTCTCAAGAACCATTGAAACAGGAAAGATGAAACTCATATGAAATTATCCTCAGGTAGTGTAGATTCAAGTTTGTTCAAGTCATGACCCCCGGGGATAGGGCGGGGCCAAAATGGCCGATCAAAGTTTTACATAGGAATATATAGGGAAACCTTTTTAAATCTTCTTTTCAAGTACTTCAAAGCCAGGATTAGTAATATTTGTATGGAATCATCCTCAGGTAATGTAGATTCTAGTTCGTTTATATTATGATCCCCTTGGGGGTTAAAATTCAACCCCCCCCCCCCAACTTAAATGAACTTTTAGTTCTGATCTGATATGTGTTTTTTCCTAGCTGATGTGCTCAGGTGAGCGCTGTGGCCCCTGGGCCTCTTGTATAATTTATTATGTTTATTTAATGTCAAGACAAGAAATGAAAAAAAAAACTAATTTTTAAAAAAAGTTTTATAATTTATCAAAATATCGAGATACGTATTGTTTGTACTAATGTATCGAGATATGTATCGTATCGCAAGATCTGTGTATCGTCCCACCCCTAAAATTTTTTTTGACGTACTGTGGGAAATTCAAGCTATGTATCTTAATGTACTGATTGCACTGGACTTGTCTCCACTGCACATTGTGTCAAAGCTTTCATATTTATTTCTTATTTCTTCCTTTAGCATGTTAACTCTGAGTTGAATTTATTAATTTTCTAAAGAGAAATGTTTATTAGGGTTTCCAAACATATTAATGCCACTGAATGTATGTGACAAATTCTAGCATAAAATGTACTGTCAATTATCATAATTATTTTAGTCTTTCTAATTATATTTGAACTAAATCAACTAATTAAGGTATATTTCCTTTCTCTTTTAGTATTAAGTCGATGGTATGGCATCACCTTGTCGCAGTCGAAGATCACTGAACGAACTTTCGCCAGTGATTAAAGAAGTAGATAATACTCTGAAGGAGCAGTACAAGATAGGAGACCATGTTTGGGTCAAAGTCAAGACACAGCCGTGGTGGCCAGCAGAGGTAAATCAGTTATAAATCTGATGTTTTAATGCCATGGTTGTCCGCAATGATATAAATCAGTTAAAGATCCTTTGGGGCCATGCAGATGTGCAAATGAAAATTTTCAATTTGAATTTTACAAATTTTAAGAAAGAATTCTTTATTTGTATCTAATTATAACTGATGTTGCTTGTTTGAATTAAACTTCTTAAACTTTGATTTTAAAGGTAGTTGAAGATGAATGCATGCCAGAGTTGATGTACGAGAATACACGAAGACCAGTTGTTGTCAAATACTTAGGAGAAGATGAATAGTAGGTGCACATGTACCAAAAATAAAATGTTAATGTATAATTGAAAAAAAGAACTGTAGATATGACATCCTGAGTATTACTATAAGCAAACAAAGCTGTACTATATCAGCTCTGATCCATCACTTATTCATAGATTGTTTAGGTTTAGCACTATTGTTTTCTAACTGATTAGAGATTTGCTGTTTATTGACAAATCATTCAGAAATATGCCACAAGATAGAAAATAGAGATTTATTTAATTTTTGAACTGAAGGATGGTATATGATCATTGAATGCGAATTTAAATTGTTCAAATAATTGTTGCAGTGCACGAATTACCAATCCGAAGTCGATCTGCCATTACAATTGTCCAATGAGGGAGACATACAAAGTAGAAGGTTTGTATAAGATGGGTGTCCAGTGGTTTATTTTGTCTGTGCTACCACAAATTAGCAATCATTGTATTGACTCCTGTGTTCACATTTGTTTAACATTTCAGGAAAAGATCAATTTAAATATTTTTTTGGTCATGTTGATGGTTTTTTACCTTTCTGCTATTATTTTTTTACACTTCACTCAAAGTTCTCAAAGTCAGTAAAATGGAGATTTTAATGAAGAGTATTTGCATTTAGTGAGAAGTGGCAAAGAAATTAGAAACAATTTCACATTAGGTGTTGGAATAATTCTGAAATGCTAAGATTCATGCTGGATATATACATGTACTTAAATGTGCTATGTAATACTTTTTACCATAGGTCTTAGAATGAAAACATCCAAAGGCAAAGAAACAAGAGACATATTTTTAAGGGCATTAAAGCTGGCTGAAAATCTAGACAAGAATTCAGGTAAATTTCAGATGCACTAGAGGAAGTGAAATCCCACTTACATGTAAGTGTATCAATGTGACGTTAGAGTGTATTTTGAAATTGAATCAAATTCATTTTAACAAATACATGATCACTGATAGAAAAGTGTTAAAATTTTGTCCAATTCATTAATTAAATCAATTAATAAAGGAGAAACATAGGAAGCTTGAAAATGGCAGAAATCTTGTGCCACAACCTTCACATCATAACAATTAAACAAGGTCAAGGCTACTAAAAAAGAGAGGCTTCATATTTATTTAGCTCATACCTGATACAGTATGATTATGGTTTACAACTTGCCTATGTGTGCCATGAATTTAAGGAATATCACCTCAATTGCTTTACATATAAATATATATACATTAATGAATTAATGACAGGACAGTCATGGTGTGGGTATTTTCCGTTTAATATGATTGTATAGATTGATGTATATATAGGATCTCCCATGATTTTACCATGCTAATGCAAAAACCATTGTGACGCCACAACTGCACTTAATTGTAGGACATAAAAAAAAAATATCCGTTGAGTCATATCCATGGGATAAAGGGTTAAAACGTGGGATATAATATACATTCACTTCAAATTGATATGTAACTGTAGCAGTATTCCTTCATGTATAATCACAGTCTTTATGCTGTGTGTTTCTTTTCTTTTTGTCCAGACTTAGAGGCATCAGAGGCTTCAATGACAGATAAATCAGGAGAACACAGAAAATGTCTGTTCCAGTCACATCCAGGCCAAAAGGATGATTCAGATCATCAGACAATGGAGACAGAGGAATCAGTGAAGATCAGAAACACAGATAAATCTAGGAAATCTACGTCAGAACCACAGGAGGGTCATCAGAGGTCAGCTGTCCCTCTACCTGTGTCAGAATCACCTGTCCCCCAGGTGTGTTCCCCTGCTGATGATGAAGTGTCACAGTTCACCCCAGGGGCCTCAGTGTGGGTTAAATTACCCAGACTACCTTGGTGGCCAGCAAAGGTAAAGAGATCCATGGGTTTTTCTCCTATATACATGTATGATGGCATGATTTTAATGAAACATACTATTTAAGAATGCCTGAGACACATCATTCTTTTATTAACTTATGTTTCCAAGGTTATCTTTATGTTTTTTAATCATTTCAAATAATGTAAAATCTCATATTTTCGTTGGGTCTAATTTTTGTGATTTGAGTATTAAAAAAACTTTTGGTTTGTGGGGATTTGAATTTGTGGATGAAGAATTATTGAGTAGTTATGTATGTAACATTTTACATTTTGTGGTGGACATGAATTTGTGGGTCTCTTCATACCTCGAAAACAATGAAAATTAAACCCCATGAAAATTTGTGATTTCACAGTATGCACACTTTTCCTTTAGTCTTCGTCTTGTTTCAGTAGAATGTATCTTTGAAGAAAAAAAAATTCGCTAAATCTTTGTTGTATGTGATATTTTTGAAAGCATTTAAATAGACAAGTGTAGAGCTGTAGAGCTACAGTCTCATTTACATCAGAGACCTCTGGATTATGTACATTTATAGAAACACTTGGTCTTTCAGGTGAAGGAGGTGACACAGACCGGGAACAAGCCGTCTATCTGTGTGGAATTTTTTAATGAAGTTGACATGTAAGTCGTTATACAATGTACTAAGCCAGCAGCAGTTCCTGCTACACTGTAGCAGTAATGTAGAATTATGTAGATGCTTTGTATCTTCAGTGTAGGAATCTGACATTCTTTACTTTAAGATAAAGATTTTATGAAAATCAATCTAAAGAACAAAAAAAAAAGACATGCTAATATTTCTCTCTATCACATGTTATTACTTCTCTTCTAGGCAATTTTATCAGATGATTTCAGATCTTAGTATTTGTTTAAAAATACATATGAGGGGTATTTGGAAAATTATGAATATTAGATAATAAAAAAATGTTTAACATAGTTTTTCAGGAAAAATGATTGAAGAAAATTAAAATTTAATCAATTTTCTACAAAATGTATATTACTTAAATTTTCTAAATAACGCGAACCCGAGATCTTGATATGTGACGTAAACGACGTCTGCGACAATATAGCACGAAACAATGGCAAGTGAAGTTCCTAAACATTTTGAGCAATGGGCGTACTGTAAAGCAAGGGCGCTTCTCGGTTATATCCCGACAGAAATTAAAGCTGCTTTGAACAAAGTTTATGGACCTTCTGCACTCTCCTATCCAACTATTCTGAGATGGGTACGTCAATTTCAAGACGGTCCGCAGACGCTTGCAGATGACCCTCGTAGTGGAAGACCTGCATTTGCCATCACCAAAAATGAAATTGACACTGTGAAACAGATCATTGAAACTGATGCAAGATACACCGTTAATGACATTTCATCTTTCACTGGGATCAATTCGTCAGCAGTATTTGAAAGATTAAAACACAGACTAATGTTGAAAGAATTTTGTGCTCGATGGGTCCCCCATATTTTGACAGATGAGCAGAAGAGGGTACGGGTAGAAATTTGTCGGCAATTTATAGAAAAATATGAACATTGCGATTTCAGGCGTTTAACTCTTTACAACTTTCTGAACTGTTTTGCAACATACACTTAACGCTCACGTCATAGAAATAGAAATTTACCATTTTCCCGCAAGCACCTTATAGCGTGGTACACGTTTCTCTAAAATTTAGCGTAAATAATATTATGACGTTATATTTTGATACAAAAATAACTTTTCCTATTTTATGAGATTTTTACAAGTATAAAATAAAAGGAAATTGGCATCTAATTAAAGATTAAATGAACTTTTTAAAGTGCGTGAAAATGCGTGATTGCGGGGAAACGGTATATGCGTGATTTTGCGTTAGAAATAGGAAATGGTGTATGCGTTAAAACGCGTGACTGCGGGGAAGGGGGTTAAACGAAATAATCACTGGTGACAAAAACGTGGATTTTCTTTTTCGAACCAGAAATAAAACGAAACAATAAAGTTTGGGTGACTGACGTCAAAGACAGACCACAAATTGCACGGCATAGCCGCACAGTGCGGAAAGTTATGTACACTATTTTCTTTAATTCGAAGGGACCCGTCGTACAAATTCCTGTCCCAGAGTCTACCAGTGTCACTGCTAAATTCTACAAAGAAAAAAGTGTTAACCAAAGTTGTGTCACATGATAAAGAGACCTGCCCTCGCACTGGAATCTGTGGCATACATTTACTACATGATAATGCACCAGCCCACAATGCCATGATTGTTACCGAATATTTGACAGAGATGAGCATTAAAACTTTACCGCATCCTCCATACAGCCTGACCTATCCCCTTGTGACTTTTGGCTGAATCCACTGATCAAGGATGCCTTAAGAGGACGAAGATTTGAAAGCTGCCAGGCTGTAGGCAGTGCGCTATACCAGTGTCTAAAGGGTATCCCTAAATCGGCCTATAAATCAGCTAATCAGAAATGGATTCAAAGACAAAGACTGAAAAAATGTGTAGAAGTTTAAGGAGAATATTTTGAAGGACTGTGATGAGCTGAATCTGTGATAATTTTGTTGAATAAAATACAGCAAAGAAATATTCATTATTTTTCAAATACCCCTCATACATGTAAACTAAATGCATGTTGTTATTGTTAGAATTACTTTTTAACCACACTATTTAAAATGTTTTGTAGAAACACTTCCTGTAACTTTCCTGTGTTTCCTGTTTTTCATACTTAAGGTACACAAATCATTGTTTTATTGTATTGCTTGACAGAGAGAACATTAAAGATTTCAAGAAAATCAAACAGTTTCGCTGCTTGGAGAAAGAGGAGTTCTACAAGAAAGGTACAATCATTACTTTTATGTCTAAACATTTTGATCCTTAATTTGTGTAATGGTGGTAAAAATTCTTGGCACCAAGACATATTTTAGTATAAGAGCCAAAGAATTCGACCCACAAAATGCCTTATTTGGCCTAGCAAATTTGTAAATTATGAAAAGGACATTAGAAAATATGTTTTGGGTTATTATCAACCTAGAACATCGGTAGATTTCACATGTGCAACAATTTCGTCAAAACCGGATATTACGATGTCATACTAAATTATAAACGGCAGCATGGTTCGAGGTTTTCCGGAAAAATGCTCAAATTTTACATAATAAATCGTGGTTTTCGCATAGAGCACAGTCGTTACCGCAAATTATTGAAACAGAAAAATAATCATAACTGTTCGAGAAGTAATTTCCAATGAAAATGTTTTGCGATAACGAGTGTGCTCATGTTGAAAAAAAATAAAATGAAATGTCAACTTGTGTAAAAAAGCTATGATCAAGAACCACCATATTTGTCTTTGTCTATTACGCAAACTTTAAAAGATCAATTAGAAAGGTGTATAATATTGATTTTGAGAGTGGATAGACACTCATATCCCACAAGTAAGAAAATGTTATCTGAGGCACCCATAGACACGTTTGACTGCTGGAATAAATATGATGAGTTCAGTCTAAAAAAAAACAAAAAGACTTTTTTAAAAAATGCCGATTTATCGACTTTTCTTTTCTAAGTTAGATTGATTTACAGGCAAGTGCAACTTTCAAACGTATTATATGTATGAATACCGCAAATAAAAACTTTGATGTCAATTAATATTGTTGTTTATGGCTTTGACAAGTAGCCTAATGAATTAAGAGTTAAATTTAAACTTTGTTGTTATCAAGAATCGGTAATTTTTTTAGAGTCAGTCACTAATTGGTGGGTCATAAGACATCGACTAAATAGATAACACACAATGTGATAGAAAAAGCAGTCAATTGTTCGCTGAAGACAATAAATGTGGTGAAGAATTTAAAAACTACATTTTCTGAAATCAAAGGGGAAAAACTGATAGGTAATCACAGTTGTACGTGACGTTACTCAGTGTACGTCATTTATGACGTCATTATAGATGCAATCATTAGGAATCAATGCCAGGGAGAAATGGAAGAAAATTCTTCTTCTTTTTTTTTTTTTTTTTTTTTACAGATTTAGTTTCCTGTCGCTTTGTTAAATTCATTTTGTTGAAACGGGAAATTATCTATTATTAAAAAAATAAGCACCTCTGTAAACTGGATTCAAAGTAGAACTCGCGTGTTTGCACATCAAATGCCTGCTTTCAAATCCCCACGTCGATGCATACAATACATGGAATTGTATTATATAGTATCACACGAAGCAACAATCGGTTTTTATTTCTATATCTAAATAACATTCATTTCACTACATTAAATCCGCGTAGATAATTTTCATGCACTTGCATAAAAACGTGAAAAATAATTTTCAACTGTATAGGCGTCGGAAGAAAACTGAAAGGGGGGCTTATTGAAAATGTGTGTGTGTGTGGGAGGGGGGGGGGGTTAAACCAACACAAATACGTAAGCCCCAATTTTTTAATGCCTAATGGCTATATTATGTATATCTTTGTAAAAAAAAAAAAAAAGGGGGGGGGGCTAAGCCTATGATATATGACCCTGGATAATGTTTATATTTATTATAGTAACTTAGTATCTTTATTGGCGTATACATTGCATACATGTATATTGCCACCATTTATAGCTTGGGGTGGGGTGTTATAAAAAAGCAGATATATAATTTGACAAAAATTAATAGATATTTGTTTACAAATATCCAGAGTTTAATTTTTAAAAAATCCTGAGTACATGTAAAATTACGAGTAAAATCTGTAAATGTAAATTACTTGTGCATGACGCAGAGTTGTTTTTGTGATGTTTTCTTTCAACCAATACTTTCCTTGTCGTAAATAACCGTATCCTGGTAGATAACAAAGCACAAATTATATGTAGTTAACTTATTTTAGATCTGTAACACGTAAGAGGGAAGGGCTTAAATTTCATTCGAATGCCGTTTTCTTTTTACTTTTATGATTGAATGACTTTAAATGAATTTTTTTGGAGCCATAAATCCTTGAAAACTCACTCCAAAGAACCTGAATCCAATTTATTTTGAGAATGAAAATAAACCAGTTCCATTCGAAATACCTAATAGTGTGAATTTTGCTATTTTCTCTGCATAAATATACACAGAAAACTATAAAGTGTCCTTCGGGGAATGTACAGGGAAAAGGTGGGGTGGGGACTATGTCTTCCTCTGCATTTGATATCGGCATATCGCTGGATCCGCTACCACGTACATGTACTAAGATTAGTAGTTTATCACTACACGTTAGAAGAGGCCGGGGGAAGGGGGGGGGGGGGGGTTCCATGCTTTGCCATAAATTATAGTTACGTTCATTACATAAAATTATATCAGCATTAATGAGAACTACAGGACTTGTCTAAAACTAGACTTCAAAATTATATGATTTAATGGACACGGGTATATTTTCTTCAACAAAAAACAGGAACTTTGTATAAATGTTCGTCCTTTGTATTAACCCCCCCCCCCCCCATCTTTTTTTATCAAACGGCTTACTACGATATACACGTGTTTTCGATTTCAAGAACAACAGAGATCATTTTTCACTGTCCTCTTATGCTGTCTTTAGTAAGGCCTTTTTAAGGAGCTTTTTTCGGGTAAATCAATCTTTCCCGATAAATATTAGTAAAATGTTAATGTCTGTACCTGTATTTCACTTTTTATCTTGACGTGTGTTTATAAGAATTACATACGCAATAGTACACATGGAAATCATAATGTGAAAATAAAATGGAAAGTGATAAACGACAAGCAATGCACAAGTTTAAAAAAAAAACATAGTACTAAATTTATTACATTTAAGTCAATCGATAACGATGTATTTACGACATATTACAAATACCGTCCTGCATACATTAATTATTTTACTAGTCTTGATCCAGCGATTGGCTGGTTCGCGAAGATAAATATCTGCGAAGCTGAGGTGTGTGCAAATCTCGCGGATATTTCTCGCTCGCCTTTGAAAATTGGTTAACAGCTGAGGCCTGTACGACAGACTACAAGTTCGCGAGCGCTCGCCAAGGTATCAAAAATGTGTAGTAAAAAGATCCTTTCAATATCGTGTTCTTCTTTTCAAGTAGTGTACCGGTAATTAGATTTTGATTTTTAAAAGGCTCCAATATAAACTATTTTATGGATCTAAAGCTACCTCAGCGGAAGTGATTTCCAATATTTTTTTATTCCATTCAGTCAGAATTTTCATCTTTTTTGTTTTAAATGATTGATTATGAAGTTGATAAGATAAATATCTGATACTAATTACTGCATTTAAAGCCCTATATTCGTATATGTCTGTAATAGCTAAGTCATTGTATCACTAATTGACGTGACGTTACATTACAAAAAATGACGTTCCTATTGCATTTTTCTATGAAAACATTGCCATATTGCAAGACCTCGTTTTTAAAAAGTATAATAGATATTGAAAAAAGGAAAACGGTTATGAAAAGCTTAAAGTCTATACTATCTACGATAAAAATTGCGTTAATATTTTGCAAGAGGCATTTTTTGATGGTTCGTGGACTAAGCTCTTTGTGATGATTTTCGTTAAATTAAGGTCCCATACCTTACGAAAAAATAAGAATTAATATCAATGAAAACTTACAATTTTGCATTGTTTTAATTCTCTATTTTTTCTCCTAGGTATGAAGACTCTTAAGACCAAGCAGAAAACAGATTTATTTGGTGCAGCATATGAAATGGCTACGTCCAATATGTTTGACAGGACAGCCCTGGATGTAGAATGTGTCCCTTTAAATCGAACCTCTAGTGATGAAATAAGTGCTGACCCAGACACGAAGGATTCTGAATCTAAGGTGACAACACTGACTAAAATGAAAAGGAAAAGACAGGCTGACAGTGAAGAAAGTCTGTCGGGAAAAAGAAGAAAAAAACATAGTGGCAAAACTAGTGACACAACAGTGAACCAATCAAATAGTGAGAAAACTAGTGACACAACAGTGAACCAATCAAATAGTGAGAAAACTAGTGACACAACAGTGAACCAATCAAATAGTGAGAGAAGTCTGCGTAAAACTTCTGTCTCAAAAAATACTAAGGATGATAAAAAACCAAAGTATTCAAGTTATTCTAAAGTAGAACCTAAAAAGAAGGGAAAATCTGTGTCTAGGAAAAAGCTTAAGTCTTCAAACTGTGTTAAAACGAACAGTGATAGTAACCAGGAAGATCAATTAATAGAGGGTGATGAATCCCTGCCGCAATTAATGAAACGAAATAAGACAAAGAGAGGTCAGATCAAAAACTCAACCTCAAAATTCACAAAAAAGAGGAAAACAATGAAAAAGAAGAGAAGAGGGAGAGACGAGACGCGAACAGAGATACAGGAGGAAAGAGAGGAGGAATTGTGTACGAGGGACGACACTGTTTACAACGAGAGCAGTTCTCCAATCTCGTACGGTGGGAAGCTGGATTATAACGAAGCCAGTTCTCCGATTCCATATGGTGAGAAAATGGATCACTCAGAGGGAAGCTCACCAATACCATACGGTGGAGACTTGAATTCAGAAAAGTCTTCATGTCTTATGGAAAACATCACAGAAGATGAAGGAGTTCAGCATGATTCCCTGAATTCGCAGACAACAAAACATTCACCAAACTGTATGGACTCTGAAGAGCTAAGCAGTAAAACAGACACCAAGCAGCTCACAACTAATGATGATGGGAAAAGGTAAAACAGAAAACTAACACCTGACATTTCACAGAATGTTCTGTTTCAGTGAAATTTGATATCCTCATGTTATCTTGATTTTTCCTTCAGAGAGGACTTTGACCCCAATCTAGATGCTGATGACTGCTACAGTGATTCAGATGATGAAGATTTACCAGATGCACTTACTCCATCTAGACATGGTAAGATCATGTGTCATTCTTTGTCCACACGTTCTTTTACAAAATTATATACAAAAGTCTGAGAAAGTTTATTTGGTCAGTTTACCAAAATTGACAAAAGCAATGTAAAGCAAGGACCAACCTAGGGGGATACTGAGGCGAAATAGTCGCTTTTGGGCTCCAAACTTCGCCGTAATTTATCATGAAAGCGAAGTTTAAGTCGCCTTAACATATTTGCAAACCCTTTATTGAAAATCATAAAAAATCTATTAAGAAACATGGTAGAATCGTCAGTCGTTTACAAATCTTGTTTTATTACTGCTGAAATAAACAAAACAGCAGGACACTTGCACCTGTTTCGCTACCGATGACCAATGCATCGAATACTCTGTCGGAACTCCTAGATTTTACGCTTCCGGGTATGAAAAAGTCCATAGTTACAAGTTATGCACAACCAGACGCAAAACAGCTGGTCAACTATCAATGTCATGCCAAAGATGTTGAAGATGATTTTAGATCTTTTTATTGCTAAATAATTAATTCATGCTGTGAATACAGAGATATTTTTACTGTTAAATTGTGGAGTTATTGACCATCTAAGAAATTACACATCTGATATACAGAGTTCAATCAGCATGCACACGTCGTACATCATAATTTTTTTCAGAAAAAAACTAAATATTGAAAATAAATTTTGAAGAGAAAATAACAAAATAATGACTATGCAATGAGGCTGAAAATTTAAAATTTGACAGAATTTAAAAGTTAATTGTGCATATTATGCAAGAAATGAAAAAAAAACAACTTAATTTACATTGTCATTGGATTTTTTTTTTTGCTAGATATACCTTGTAATTGGAAGAAAAAAAAATCAGATTCTCGATTATTTTCTTTTTTTAAAATTATTTTTACTAGGATGTCAATACAAAAAAATTATTGAAATGTATTTTAAGTGATAAACAACGAAATAGTTGCATTTTTAAAAAGTTTTAAAATGATCAGTGGGCGTTACGCGCGCCAAGAAGTCTCCCTAAATTTCAAAACTTTTCCCTAAATTTCTCTGAGGGAGAAGTGAAGTCTCCCTAAATTTTGGGTCTAGGTTGGTCCCTGTAAAGTACGAAATATGAATAGCAAAGACGATCAATACAGTCCTCTTTGAAGAGCTCTATACCAACTTTTACTATGATCCCCAAACTCTGCTACTTTATTACTATTCTGTGGCCATTTTCACAAAAAATCTTATGACTCACTGGCTAAGACTAGAACTTTTCCCCATTTTAAACTAATTATCTAAGCAGCGAAAATCTAATGTTACTATTTCATTATATCAATCTTTCATAATTTAATTGAAATTTATTATTTAGAAAAAATATCTTTATAAAATAAATAATAAGAGAATGGTGAAACTTTAGTTTGATTAGTTGTAAGATTTTGTGAAAAGGCCCACAGAATATTTCTCACCATGACCAATTGTTTAAATATATAATTGGTTACTATGTTACTATATTTCCCTGGAGTCATGGTTGGTTTTCAGAATGACAAATTCTGAATGAAATTTTTCCAGTATAAATAGATGCTTGATAGTATTGCTGTGACATCACAGTGATATTGTGGAATCATTTTAAGGGTTCTCCACACATCCCCAGCTCTTGTTCTCACATTACTGTCTATTTACTGTGCATGTACTTTCAACAAGCATATATCTGATAGCCTTAAAAACTGGTCTGGAATTGAAATATACGGTAATTCTTATACCCCCACTCTGATGGAGAGGGGTAGGGGTGTACTGGTTTCACCCATGTGTGTCTAGCTGTCTGTCTGTCCCTTGTCATTTAGATAAAACCTTCTATCCTTAAAATGATATTCCTAAGGACCTGGTTTAATGATAGAATTTGTTCTATGTATTTGTAATGTAGCAAAGCAAACATGGGTGATAACTCATACTCAGTGCATTTAATATGAACAATCTAGAGAGTTCCGAAAGTAAACATTGCTGGTATTTTTAAAACTAGAGTAAAATGTTGAGAAAATTAATTGGATTTAGTCGTTACATGGATTATTTTTAGGGATAAAAGGCATATGCAATCTCAAAAAGGTTGTTTTGATTAATTTTGTAGTTATTTCCAATTCAAACCATGTCATATTCTTCAAAATCATTTCGGAGGGGATCCACTCCTATTTGCTACATTTCAAGTATATGGGACGTATTCTAACTGTGGTGAGGGCTTGTACTGAGACACAGTTCAATTTTTCTAACTTTTGTCTTTTATGCTACAAACACTCAAAGATCTGCTGTTTTATTGAGAAAAAAAAATGGACACATATTTTGGGTTCACACCATTATTTAATTATGCCATGTGTTCATTGTTTATGATTAGGATGTCACTCTCAATATACTGCTTATTTTTCCCATGACAGAAACCTTCATTTTAAATCATTTATAAGTCTATCTTTCTTACATCACTCATATTTTATAATGTTTTAGTTATAACTTATATAAAAAAAAAACGGCACAATTATACATCTCACTGCAGGTATTTGACTTTCTGTACTTTTTTGTTTCCATTTTGAGCAACAAACAGATTGTCATTTGTATCTGTACACAGTCCATAGGGATAAATCAGTCCACATTCTATGTAACGAAGGAACTGTCCATCCTGGTTTATGATGTGGACACAGTTGTTGTTATAATCAGCTGTAAGGATGTGACTCTGACTGTCTGTGGTAATTCCTGGTGGATAGAATGGTTTGTTCTTTGGAGCAGGAGTATGTCCAGTGTACCTGAATCTCAGTTTCCCAGCGTGATTGACCACCACTACTGCTTTAGCTCCACCATCAGACACACAGATATCCAGGTTCCTGTTCTCTGTTGTGTAACTACCAGATTGATAAAGAGGTATACCTTTATCATCAAACTGAATGGTTTGTTTCTCTGTGGAGCCAGAGTAACGGACAACTTTTGTTTGTGTTTCATCATCACTGTGCAAGATAACCAGGAGGTCACCAGAGGAGGTACTACAGACACCTTTGGGTCTCCAGTTCTGTAGTTTGATCACCTGCTCTATCTTCTCATTCTTCACAATGTTCACAGTTCTATCATCATAATCAGCATAAACTAGATCTCCGCTTTTTGTCACTGCTATGTCAGATGGTGTGTTCCCTGACTTGGTTGTGATTGACTTGAGTAGTGATCCCTGATTGATGCTGTAGAGTTTCATGGTGCTGTCATTTCCACCTGTCCAGATTTCTTCATCACTCAGACAGGCCACATAGTAAAGGCTTCTATACCCAGTGTGTATGGTGGTGACAGTCTCTGGTTCATCAAGCAGCTGTTTGACTGGAGGAAAGGATCCAGCTTCTGTTGATTTCTGTGTTGTCTTCATCTTGTAGCCATGTTTATCTGAAGTTAAAGAACTTGATGATAAGACTCCAAAAAGTTTGAAAAGTTCTTCTTTGTATATTTTTTTTGGCATGAATTTGGGTAAAGATGGCATTATTTGGTGTGGAAGATTTCTATATATATGTACACTGGATGTGACACTAAACAGTTTTGACAAGTCATTGGTGTCTGTAGCCATGTCAATTGAATCAATTTCTCCCTTGATGTCAGACATTGTCTTGTTTATTTCATCCAGATGTTTCTGTAGAGTTTGTAATTGTGTGATTTTCATCTCATCAACTTCAGCTTTAAGTTTCTGGACAAGTTTGTCAATTTCTCTGTGCCAGTCCTCTCCATGTTTTGTTATGGCTGTTGAGAGATCTCCATATTCCTTTTCTAACTGACTCATTCTGTTTTGTACATCAGAGGCAATGTCTTGGTAGGTTGGATAAATTGTGTCATTTAATTCATTTCTTTCTTTTGTAATTCTTTCTTTCTTTTTATCCAGAACTCGCAAGATTTTAGATAATTCATGATGTAAATGTTCATTTGATTCAATGCAGCTGGCACAGACAGGAATGTCACATTGTTTACAGAACATGATACATTGTTGTTTTTCATGAGATTTACATCCAGGGTAGAGGGGAGTGGATTTTCTGGACTGAAATTTGACGACTTTGTGGTCCTTGGATTCATCTGTTGAGATGTGTTCTCCCACACAGGCCTTACACAGGTTGACAAGACATGTATCACAGTGCATCTGTACCACAGTGGTCTTACACAGGTCACATCGCATCACGTCCTGGGCACTGGTACGGGGGTCCATCATTAGATCTTGTTTCTAAAGCATAAAAATTTAACATTAATAATAAATCCATGTAACGGAAGTGTTTGAAACTCAGTGTAAAATTAGCTAGACATGCAGGGCTGATTGCTAGTGAAAGTTGTTAGCCCTGCCAAAAATGTACTAGCCCGAAAAAAATAATTGTCTTTTAAAAAGTTCATTTTAGCATGCAGTAATGTGAATGGGGCCAACTCACTATATATTCTATCCCCGACCTATAGGCTGATGAATTTTACTCAATTGTTTACTTGTTACACTTAGCAACTAGTAATATTAGTTGATTTGAGAGAGATTTATCAAATATCTTAATTTTGATTTATGGAAAAATTTTACATGTCCAGTGGGGCGTCAGTAGTACAGATCTGTTTGGCCATGACAAATGTCTGTCTCTAGCAGTCAGACGCATTACACTGTATTATTTCAAACACTGGTAATGGGTTTGTGGGTAAGATGCATCAGGCAGATATAGATGGACAATTTTTTAAATTTCAGGCCAAGAGCATTGATTTTCAAAAGAAAGGGGGCAAGGCTAAAAAAAATTGACAAGCAAACAAAAACAAAAAACACAAAATGCCCATACTCATTGTCTTAGGGGGGATCTTTCTCTAAGTTTTCCGTAAATCTTTATTTAAGAATTTGCCAGAGTTTAACTTTATACCAACAAAAACTGGGGAAACCAAGCAACCTTTTTATGAAATATTTCACATTAAAACTATCAGTAGAAGACTATTGTCCAAAACAAGTTGGGAGGATTGAGCCAATGTCACATACTACAAGCCTGCACATGTTCATAAACAAGTCACTGGATTATATTATTGAAACATGGTTCATTGAATCTTGATTTTTAAAAGAAATTTTTCTTCCAATAGTTAAAGCCTATGGAAATTCATTTTCAATGACTTTGTGAACATTTCATAATCACAGAAAAACTTGCTGTACGTATTTCCTACCTGACTTCAGTAATGGTGGCCGTCCTTGATCAATTTCCAAGTGCAGTCTTAATGTACACAGATCACGTGACATACCTGTGTTATCTACCTGTCAGGTGTTTATACTTCCTGGTCTAGAAGGAGATTTAAAAATACTTTGTTAAAAATAAATGCTGTTTAAAATGTACATGTAGAACAATAATCCTGTGAATTGAATGGATTCATCATAACTGGCCCCCACCTTTACAAAAGGTAGCTAAGTACACTTTCTCCATAACCAATAAAATCAGACTAACTAGAGGTACTGTGAGCAATGAGCTCACTAAATGATACTACCCGCCTCCCATATGAATGAATATAAGGGCAGCATCCATGTTTTGCTTTGGGAAACCCAAAATATGTGTCAGATCAAAAAGTAAAATAGGAGGTGCAAAATGGCAATATGTAATAAAGATTCTTTAAAAGTTTCATCAAATTTCACTCTGTGGTTTGAGAGAAGTTGCAGATAAGAGATGGGTACCCCAAAGCGTAACAGACGGATGGACGGATGGACAGACAGACTTACCAATTACTATATACCCTCCCGCTTTTCAAGTGGAGGTATAACTAACTTGCCACATAGGGTGGTGAAGAAATAGTAAAATACTTGTAGCTACATGAAATTGGTTTATAACTTAACTATAATAGCCAACTAGAACTGTCCAATAGGGACGAATACCCCCCGCTGGGTTTTTCAGAGAATGTGCCAATTCAAAAATACTTTATGGATCTAGAGGTGTTCACAATTTACTTACAAAAATTTGCAGTGAAATATAATTGCTCATCATGTTTCTTAATGAATGAAACAAAGGTGCAACCAAATGAAACATCAATACTAATACATTGTAATTCCATTGTAACATTATTTTTTTTATTTCTGCATTAAAAAAATATATTGCAATTATGTGTTATGTCACTCTGCAAACTGATTGTTAAAAAAAAAATCATATTATACAAAATCAAATTAATCTTGATAACTTTATATCAAATTCATTTGAAAATAAAGAGCTGGTCATCCAGTAATGAAGTACTTTGACAGACAATAAATTACAATTAAGAGAATAAGAGAAGAGAGATCTTTAATTCTTGTGCCTGATTCCCAGGAGATTACACATGGTTGATAATGAGATGCCTTAATGTTCAACTTCCCACACCAAACTCATTAATTTATCTTTAACTGGATGCATGTCCAGTCATTATTCCCAAGAGACAAATGAAATTACATTATCTTCTGTGCAATGTAAAAACTGTTTTTAGCACTTGATGATGTTTTTTTTTTAAGTTTATATGAGTAGTTTTAAGCTGTAGTATTTTTGTACAGATATTCTAGATTCTATGTCTCAAACCTTATACATGAGCCCAAAATGAACAAGTCAATTAAAATAAAAAATAAAACCTGTAAAATGCAAAAAAAATGAACAAAAAGAGTTGAAAATTCCAATTGCACACCTTCATATGGTGAATAATAAGTGTACAAATTTTCAGATTAATCCTTGCAATAGTTTTTGAGAAACGGTCTGGACAAAACCACAAAATAAAAATGAAAAAACACCTGTAAAATTCAAAATAATAATCGAATCAAGATGAAAATATCAGGTGCACAACTTCATATGGTGAATAATATTTGTACAAATTTTCAGACAAATCCTTCCAATAGTTTCTGAGTAATGGTCCGGACAAAATCTCGTCTACAGACAGACAGACAGACGGACAGACGGACATGGTGATTCCAATATACCCCCCCCTAAACTTCGTTTGCGGGGGGTATAAAAATAATACAACTTGTGTGAGAAGGAAACGTAAGATAGATTTAAGTTTGCATTCAGTGTGCTACTTAAGGTATATCACTCGTCAGTTTTTCAGAAAAGTTCAGACAGAAAAGAGGGGGTATATAGTAATCGTTATGTCCGTCCGTCTGTCTAGCTGTCCGTCCGTCTGTAGACAAGATTTTGTCCGGACCGTTTCTCAGAAACTGTTGGATGAATTTGTCTGAAAATTTATATACTTATTATTCACCATATGAAGGTGTGCACCTGGTATTTTCATCATGATTGGATGATTTTTCTGCATTTTACAGGCATTTTTTCTTTTTTATTTTGTGATTTTGTTTGGCTCATAACTAGAAAACTATTAGACTTACAATCATCAAACTTGGACAATTTATGCATCTTGGGTAGAAGTTGTGTCACGACCTATTTCAAGGTCACTGTGACCTTTAATTTAAGTGATTTTTAAAAAAAAAACTAAGTCTTTAAAATTTTAAATTTCATAATCCTAAAAAATGTAAAAATATTAGGGATGTCAACGAGTACCTGGTTAACCGGGTACTCGATCGAACGTCCGAGTATCGAATACTAAAACTGGTACTCGGTTACTCGGATGTATATTTTTTTTCTTTTTCCAAAATACATATATTTATGAAAAACTTATCAAAAAATAACTTTAATGTGGATACGATAATTAGCGTGTCGTCGTCTACACCTTTAAAACACCTGTTATAGCCTGTGGCTGTGTATATACAGTAATTAGTGGCCAATTACCTGGTACACAGCTTTTCTCACCTATTGGGATCCTTAATTTTTGGATGGTTTCAATGATTTGTTTTCATTGATGATCGATTGATGTGCTCTTATCTTTAAAACATTTTAAAATTATTTAGTAAACAGTACCGAAATCTGGCATGCATAAATATACCGCTACCGACTTTAAAATATAAAGAAATTGTATGTAATACATGAAATTGAAGATTGAAAAAGAAAATTAAATCAGCTCTGTGGAATAAATATAATGTATACGGGGCAATAACAATATACGACAACTCATTCCAACAACGTCCGTTCCTTCTGCTTCGAGCTTCGCGAGTGTGGTCATTACAAAGGTGCATGGCAGATTGATTAATTTAAAGCGTCTTCCCAAACAAGAACTGTAAATCATTAATTTGTAATTCTTGGTGAATCAAATTGATGTCTTTTATGTTAAATAAATAAATTAAGTACAATAAATCATTTTCGGTGGACTCCACATTTTTAAACATGTACTAAAAACATAATAAAAAACAACATTGGGGTTAAAGAGAGCTTAACTAGGTTTAAGATTAAAATGAACAGCATTGTATTTACAATTTTACCGAGTACCCGGGTACTCGATCGGAAAAACGTCCGAGTAACCGATTATCAAATATTGACCGATTTGACATCCCTAAAAAATATAGTTGAATCCTTATTAAAAAATGCTAAATTAAGTAAAAACTTATTTTTTCATCATATACTTTACAGCAAATTCTGTAACAAATGTTAATGATTTGAGAGGAATTCAGTTTGTCCCATGGGCATAATTATCAAGCACTGGTCAAGGAGAATTTTTGATAGCAGAAATGTGCATGTCAAATTAGAGAGAAATTAATGAGTTCATTGTCGGGAGTTAACTGGCAAGAGCATCTCTAGATCTGATCATGCAGTGTTATCTTAATTTATCTCTTGGGAGTTGGGCAAAAAGAAATGGCCTTTTAGTTGCTTGTGTTAATTTAAAAGAGTTCTTGATGGCTGTAATCCAGATAAAGATCTTTCAATTGGTGTAATGTAATTAAAACAAATTGATGTTTTAGTGTATGATTAAAACTAAATTAGTATTGTATAATATAATTAAAATTAACTAGGGCTAATTGTAACGGGGACCGTTACAGATGTTCCCCAAATGCTCCCCTACACCCTTTTGGTGCCATATTACCTGTAAGCGCTATTAAATAAGACACACTTTTTCCCCGAAGAATACAAAATATATTTAAATTTTAGCATTGCACGCGTGCTTATCTGAATGCATGTGCGTAATGACATTATCATCTTGTCTACATTATTTATATATTTTAATATACTTAATATCAAATCAATTAATCCAGAAGTATTAAAAAATACACTCATTTAAGCGTATTTTTAATATTACTCATTTCACGTGCATGAGGACTATACCTTCCTGTAGAAGTTTATTATGTCTGTCTATGTTCTAAATCCCACCCTGTTTGGTTGAAAAACAAGGGAGTTATAGCCATTTACAGTTTTAGCCAATAAGGTTGCAGCGCACGTGCATGCGCGTGATTTCATGACAATTGTTATATATCATATTGTAGTACATCCTAAAGTATGTATATATTTTAGATTTCATAGCATTTCGTCAAAAAACAGGAAAGATATTGAGATTTTTGTTTCAGCCAATCAGAACGAAGCGCACGTGCACGTACGTTCATGTATGTGCATGATGACCATACCTTCTTGTAGAAGTCTATTATATCTGTCTATTTTCTAAATCCCATCCTGTTTGGTTGAAAAACAAGGGAGTTATAGCCATTTAAAGTTTAAGCCAATCAGATTGCAGTGCACGTGCATGCACGTGTTTTCAAGACAATTGTTATATATTACATTGTAGAACATCCTAAAGTATGCCTTAATTTTTATATTTCATACCCTTCCGTCAAAAAACAGAAAAGATATTGAGATTTTTGTTTCAGCCAATCAGAGCGAAGCGCACGTGCATGCGCGTGAGTTCTTGCTAATTTGACAGTGTCATATTATCTACACTATTATTATATCTTTATATAATGAGTTTCAAATCATTTCATTAAAAATGTAAAAGTTAAAGCTATATTAAGTATATCGGTCATTTCACTCATATCACGCGCCCGCACGTGCATGCGTATGCGCGCAAAATAACCTTCGTTCCGCACACCTACACTACACACCTATTAACCCTATTAAGGTTTTAGCTTAGTTGGGTGAACAGTTTCTGAGAACACTCGTGGACAAAAAAGTACTTGAGAACAAAGAAGAAAAAAAAAGAATAATAATGATAATAACTAGACCTTATTTTTGTCGTTCAACAAAAACGGAGGGCTTTTCGACGCCTAAAAATCAAGAGCTTTAAAAACTTACATGATATAAAACTCATAAGGTTCAATTTCACAAAAGTTCTTTTAAGATAAATACTGAACTGAAAACATAACGATTCTTTTTGACCATCATTTTCTACTCAAAGAGAAATAACTCTTTCATCAATATTTAAAACATATGAAAATGTATTTTTTTTTCAATCCACTAAAACTCATATA